GGCCAGTGTCACCTCTGTCCTTCCTGAAGCCAATGATTGTGTTTAGCACTAAGTTGTTTGTTGAACTCCAACCTGTCAGTTTCTGGAATTCATCTCCTCCTGAGATGAGCCCGATCAGTGTGGTGTTGTCCATGAATTTGATGATGGTATTTGGTAGGATGGGTGGGAGTGCAGTCATAGGCATGCAGGGCATAGAGTAGTGGACTCAGCATCATGCAGCCATCTGGAGAGCCAGTGCTGAGTGTGAGGGAGGAGGAGACATAGGAGTCACATCTAACGGACTGGGGAACGGGTAGGGGGGGGGGGTTAGATCCAGAAATTTTCCGACCAGGATATCGGGGATGATTGTATCAACAGCTAAGCTATATTCTATGAAGAGCATTCGTGCATAGTTTCTGGGGTGCTCAATGTGGCTCAGCACGGTGTGGAAGGCTATGACAATGACATCATCAGTAGACTAGTTCAATCTGTAGGCAAACTGATGGGGATTGAAGGAGGGGGGGGGGCTGGCCTTGATGTGATGTGCAACCAACCTGTCAAAGCACTTCATCACCACTGAGGTGAGAGCCATTGGCCTATAATTGGGCGGGGCAGGTTATGTCAGACTTTTTCAGGACTGGAATGATGGTGGCTTGGGATAAGGAGAGATTGAAGATGCTTTGAGAACTTTCCCTGGTACACCATTGGGACCAGCAGCTTTCCTCGTGTTTACTGAGTACACATCTCCCGTGGTGTTCCTGCAGAGAGAGTTTGTGAGTGCTGAAGGTTGGGGGAGGGGACAGTGTGGCTGTGTCTGGTCTGTGTTCCTCCAAAAGAGCAAAGAAGCTGTTTAGCTCCTTTGCTAGCAGAGCATTGCTGTTAACAGAGGCGGTGTGGTTGCCTTTGATGTTCGTAATGTGTTGTATTCCCTGCCACACCCACTGTGGGTTGTTGTATGTGAAGTGGACCTCTATTTTCTATTTCTGTGCCTTATTTCTGTGCCTGCCTGGCAACCTTGATGCCCCTTTTCAGGTCAGCACTGTATGTTGTTGACTGCGCTGTCTTGTCCTGTATTACTGTATTGTAGCTCTTGTGTTTATGTGTTTGCGCTCCTTGCACTCTGTATAGTTCTGTCCTGCCCACTCTTGTGTCATCTTGTGTTGTTGCTGATTTTGTTCTTTGTGTTGCACCATGCTCCAGGAGGAACAATGTTTTGTTTCACTGTGTACTGTGTACTGTGTATATGGCTGAAATGACAATAAACCCACTTGACTTGGCCACAATGTTGTTCAAAGGTCTGTTTGTTTGGGGTGAAGGACACGCCTCTTGATGTACTGAATAAGGGGACCACAGACCAGTGTCCTCAGTCCTGCTTCTCATCCCAGTGCTGAGAGGAAGATGACCCGCCTGCTGGTTCTGGTGCTGGCTTGTGGAGCTCTGCTTATCTCCACAGAGGCCCATCAAGACTACTACAGTCTCCCTGATCACTACAAGGAGGCCATTAAACACGGAGTCAAAAATGCTCATCAAAATACCCGTCAGCACATGAATTTCTATGCCATGCAGGGCCTTCCAAAGGTAACTACTGAGAAAATGTTGACAGAAGTGTGATACTTTCATCATCTGCAAGCGGAATTAATGAGTATCCCATTGATTTAGATTTTTTTTCATTTCAATGCATATGATGCTTAATGTCACTTTACAATGAAAGTGGTGGTTTTATATGTCAGCTCTGGTCAATATTAGCTTCTCACAGTTTCCCTCTGAATCTGCTGCATTCCAGTCTGTGACAGTTTTGCATTTTTTGCTGATTGTTATTATTTTGTGTAGACTTTCAATGAAAATTCTTGCCAGTTTTGTATATATAACATATGTTTATGTGATTTAGATTGCCGATGACTATATTGAGATTGAGTTTCTCTTGAAAGCAACAAACTGTGCAAAGTTAACTGTACCAGATCATCGGGATGACTGCATGTTTATGACCAACAGGGTAAGTAATGAGTCACTGGACTGTGAGCAGTGGACATGTCAATTAGCAAATTGATTTCAGTTCACGATAATACTGGTGATGCCCTGTGAGGGAAAGTTAGCCAACAATAAATAAAGTAACAAATAAATAGGTGGCCTCAAACATCCATCTTCATCTCATCTTAATCTCAAATTTTAGCAATGGAAAGGCAAAAGGCTGGATTACCAGGCAGAAGCAAACACTAATCATCTGAGGGGCGACCTGTAGAGTATGCCTCGAGCTGTGACACCTAGCTGACCTTATTTATAGACCTGTGGGCTGTACTACAAAGTGGGTTTTACACACCCAGAGTTAAGTCAATAGCTGGGTTAACCAACTCTGATTGCTGCAATCAGCATTAAATGGTACTATAATGATGGTTATCAACTCAGTAAGTTGATGTGAGGTTCCTTTATCATAGTCTGTGTGCATTTACATAAAAGGCCATACTTTGACATTGTAAACTAGTGATGCAGACTGACATCTGCCCTTTGATAGGTGGCTCATAAAGGGGCACCGAATATCAGTATCAGGATAAAAACTTGGTATTACTTGGTATCGGATTGAGAGGAAAATCAGTGGGTGGTATTACCCATCCCTACTATTCAGTCAAAGGGGGCTCATATATAGGCTACGTTTGTGGTGAAAGGGCGGGACTTAACGCTTGTTTTAATCTGAAAGCCAGCAATTAAACCTGATTAGAGCAGTTTAGGTGTGCAGTGTCAATTACCAGTTAAATTTATCTCCTTTAAATAGTGAACTACAATTCATAGTACCTAAAACTCGGAAGTAAGCCTCTAGAAACCTGGCTAATCCAGTAAACACGCTCCGTAGTACAGCAGTGTAATCACGGTCACTGAATTAGCTTGATCAGAGGGCAGTATTTTAATATAGAACAGTGTTCTGTTAAATGGGATTTGTTGTTAATACTTTGATTTGTAGTTGCTTTATATGATATCACCTTATGGTGTCCCTGTTTTGAAAGCTCTTTTCCTAAAATTGATTTGTTTGATTAAACCCTACAGTCCAGCAGCTTTGCCCTAAATCTTTACTACACATTGTCTCATTGCATTTATTGCCCACCACTTTCAACATTGTTTTTGTGTGTCTGTGTGTCTTTGCAGCCATTTATTAACTGTAGAGTTTGCAGCAAACGGTCTGGTAATGATCTTACGGATCCATCAATTGATTGTGCACCACAAAAGAGAGTGGATAAAGTAAGTGTAAATTACATTTGAGAATCTTAACATTATGGAAATGTTACGAGTGTGTGAATTGTTTGCTGTTAACATAGTGTTAAACATGTTTGTACGTACTTGGAAAAATTTTATCAGTGTACTGTTTAGTAATGATAAAGTTACGTTTAATGTGAATAAATGACTACAATCAATGTATCACACTCTGATTAAAGTGCTTAACTTTTCATCCTCATTTTGTATTTAAGGACAAAAGACAGAAAATGTGTCGACCAATCACTGGAGGAGCTTCTCTCATGGCTGTCAAGGCTGCTGAAAAAGCAGAAATTGACTGTCCGGGCTGTTACTGATAGATGATGGTCCTGCAGTGTCCCAAGAGGAGGAAACTGGGATGGAAAATGCTTCGATTTATTATATGGCTGAAATCAGGATGTAATACAACATTTTAAATTTTCCGATGCAATTCCAGTTAAACAGATGAACTACTTAATTAACACCATTTCTACTCCGTCCTGAACTGGTCTCGGACAGCAGCGTCCGTGGTTCGTACTTTTAATTGTAGAGCGAGATTCAAGACCATTTTTTTCAACACAGTGGTAAACTTTCTAATTTCGACTATTTCTCTCGAAATAATGACACACATTAATAAAATACAATTAATAAAATAAAAATAGAATTAATCTATCATTCTCCTTCATTGTATTAGCTGTATACTGATTTATTTTCTTTTGCAAAGACGGTCACAGCTGGGGCGCGTCGCCACCTTGGTTTTATGCTGTTTAAACGAGTTCTTCGGTTCGCCTAATTATTACATTATCAGCTTTACATGTACAGTATCAAGTTCCGCCGTCCAAAAAACAGCAGACATGCTCAGATATACCAGAAATAATTTCTCTTTATTTTTCATACTGATTGGCTTAAAACATTACTGAGCTTATATAATACTGAGGCGGGGAAAATTCTGTTCTGAATAGCGCCGCCACTAATGTTATATATTACGGGATCCTCCCGTATAGAAAAATAAAATACTGTGTTCTCTTCCGAACCTACGGAAAGCGATTTGTCCCATATTATTTGAATTTTATTTACGGGACCCCTTTGCTTTAACTATATAAGAACAGGCTTAAGCACAATATTGGGAGCTTAATTATAGTGTGTGCTAGTTTGTTATTTTAAACGTAAATCTTAAAGCCAAAACAACCAATAAAAACTAGAACTTTTACTCATCTCTTACCACGATAGTTCACATGAAAATTTTATCAGGTCAGCAGTGATATGTTTCGTATTTTTGATTACACGCCCATGCTTGAGAATATATTGTCTTGAGTAAATAATAAAATTATATTTTTAATTAAGAGAAGGGGTGCCGTTAGAGATTTCGGTCCCTATGAAAGCGTATTATATTTGGTCCCCAAGCTAGACCAATCATATACAATTAATCGTATACTATGTTCCAAAACTTTCACGGCCTGTGTCACTCCGGGGCCTTTAAAATCGTAGTACCACAACTTCACACTACTCAAATGTACTTCATAACGTCCCTCTGGTAGATAGTTGAGAAAATATTATTTGTATACATTTCCTTTTTGCCATTTTGTTGATGAACTTTTCCTATAGAAGCACGCAAGATATAAATGGCTGAATTAAACTCATTGTCTCTGCCGGCTATAAGAATTCAGCATGTAGTATATGTACCCTACCGTTCAAAAGTTTGGGGTCACTCAGACAATTTTGTGTTTTCCATAAAGTCACACTTTTATTTACCACATGAGTTGGAAAATGAATAGAAAATATAGTAAAGACATTAACAAGGTTAGAAATGATGATATTTATTTGAAATAATTGTTTCCTTCAAACTTTGCTTTCGTCAAAGAATCCTCCATTTGCAGCAATTACAGCATTGCAGACCTTTGGCATTCTAGCTGTTAATTTGTTGAGGTAATCTGGAGAAATTTCACCCCACACTTCTAGAAGCCCCTCCCACATGTTGCTTTGGCTGGGTGGGCACTTCTTGCGTACCATACGGTCAAGCTGCTCCCACAACAGCTCAATGGGGTTTAGATCTGGTGACTGCGCTGGCCACTCCATTACAGATAGAATACCAGCTGCCTGCTTCTTCTCTAAATAGTTCTTGCACAATTTGGAGGCGTGCTTTGGGTCATTGTCCTGTTGTAGGATGAAATTGGCTCCAATCAAGCGTTGTCCACAGGGTATGGCATGGCGTTGCAAAATGGAGTGATAGCCTTCTTTATTCAAAACCCCTTTTACCCTAAACAAATCTCCCACCTTACCAGCACCAAAGCAACCCCAGACCATCACGTTACCCCCACCGTGCTTGACAGATGGCGTCAGGCAGTCTTCCAGCATCTTTTCAGTTGTTCTGCGTCTCACAAATGTTCTTCTGTGTAATCCAAACACCTCAAACTTCGATTTGTGCGTCCATAACACTTTTTTTCCAATCTTCCTCTGTCCAATGTCTGTGTTCTTTTGCCCATATTAATCTTTTACGTTTATTGGCCAGTCTCAGATATGGCTTTTTCTTTGCCACTCTGCCCTGAAGGCCAGCATCCCAGAGGCGCCTCTTCACTGCAGATGTTGACACTGGCGTTTTGCGGGTACTATTTAATGAAGCTGCCAGTTGAGGACCTGTGACTCGTCTATTTCTCAAACTAGAGACTCTAATGTACTTATCTTCTTGCTCAGTTGTGCAGCGGGGCCTCCCACTTCTCTTTCTACCCTGGTTAGAGCCTGTTTGCGCTGTTCTCTGAAGGGAGTAGTACAGTACACACCATTGTAGGAAATCTTCAGTTTCTTGGCAATTTCTCGCATGGAATAGCCTTCATTTCTAAGAACAAGAATAGACTGTTGAGTTTCACATGACAGTTCTCTTTTTCTGGCCATTTTGAGCGTTTTATCGATCCCACAAATGTGATGCTACAGATACTCAACCTGTTCAAAGGAAAGTCATATAGTTTCTCTAACCAGCTAAACTGTTTTCAGCTGTGCTAATAATTGCACAAGGGTTTTCTAACCATCCATTAGCCTTCTGATGATTACAATGAGCAAATGAGCAAACACACTGTACCATTAGAACACTGGAGTGATAGTTGCTGGAAATGGGCCTCTATACACCTATGTAGATATTGCACCAAACACCACACATTTGCAGCTAGAATAGTCATTTACCACATTAACAATGTATAGCGTGTATTTCTGATTAGTTTAAAGTTATCTTCATTTCAAAAATAAGGACATTTCGAAGTGACCCCAAACTTTTGAATGGTAGTGTAATTCATTGTTCAGTCATAGTAAAGAATCATCATAATGTTTCAAATGCTATTAGACGCTAAATAAATTCCTGTTCAACAATATATTGTATAATGTTAATGTAGAATATGAAAACTGTCTCAATGCGATATCATGCAATGTTTCAGCTCCTTCACGTATGATCAAGTGAGATTTAACGCGTAGTATTGCAAAACTCAATAAGGCATTACAGAATCCGTACCACTGAATATTTGCATTACATACATTCAAGATTACACCCCGACTATAACTACATATTCAATAAATATTTTATATACATTTCAGCTTACGCTAACACCACAGAAATGAGCCTTATAAACAAAAACGGATAAATAAATACAATGATAAGGTTAAGCTATTCACAATTCCAAGGTCGCCGGTGAAATCTTTCACGCGCTTATCTTCTTTCCTGTTTATTAAACGAAAGCTATTCTAATTGGATAACGGCAGTTAAATTAGAATTCTGATTGGTCGAAGCGGCTCGGATGCCGTCCTTCATGATTGGTTCCTTTATTTGAGCGCCGTCTACTATTGGCTTTTCACCTAGGGGGATGTGTGGACTGTAAAAGCCCGTTGGCTGCCGGGAAGATGGCGGACGCCAGGGCAGCGGCCGAAGCCTGCAAGTGAAGCACGGAGGACTCATCCCGATATCTTTGCGGGTGTGGTGGGCACACGGCTGTCCGCTTCTGCTTGTCCGAGCCTACCGCAGTTTAGCTCGTATCGCCGAGCGAGTCCAAAGGGGCCGCTGGTCTCGGTGATGTGGTTGGCTGTTGCCGTCGGTGCAGGAACGGTGCTTTACTATTAGCGCTGTCCGAGTTCAGCCACGAACGGCGGCGTACTCGACCCTAATCCGCCCGATCCAGCTGTCATCCACGGAGGCGTTTTTCCCGTGACTCTCCCTTAGCAGTGTTTTAGGCATTAAGCGAGCCAGCGCAGCCCTATTAGTGGGTCGGCTAGCAGCGTGCCCCGACCCGTGTGACGCTGCAGCGTCTCCGCCCGTAAGCGCATTACGGGCCCGCGTCTCCGCCGGACATGGACTGAATTAAGACCTCGGGACAGCAAACCCCGAACATGTAAGTGAAGGGCGCGGCTCTCTGTCTGCACACTGATTACGGGTCGCAAGCGCAAATACCGCCGCAGTTCTACAATAGTACCCCACTCTAAGGTACAACAGCAGGGCACCTCTGGGGATCTGGATCTACAACCCAGGCGTTGCGATTTGCTATCCGGTGCTATTAAGGCCAAATGTGTTCATTTAAATGGATATTAACTGTAAGATTGCAGTCACCAGTGCCTTTATTTCGCAAAGTGACGGAAATGAGTAGTCCCTTGTATTTCCTCCCACAACGACTCTCAGATCAATGATGATTTATTTCGGTATTATGAGTTTTCATGAGACCCCCACAGAGTGTCTGGACATTGTTTAAGGTCAATATTCAAGCCTTTGGTGTGCAGGGGCTTCAGAGTTGTGGGAAAATAATAACGGTATTTGTCATGTGGATTTTCAGGGCCGTTCTGTGATGTTCATGAAGTCCCTCTTTTGAGGCACAGGAAGCACCAATACTTTGACCTTCTTAGCTGTCTCCCAGTCACACTAATTTCTTCATTTGACTGTTCAGAAACTGACTCTTTTGGGGGGTAGGAATCCCCCAAAATTTATTAGAAGTGATTGCTGGTAGTTTAGGGGGACTGGGGCTTTTGGACACTGGAGAAAGTTTGGTAGAACTGCCCAGCTGGGTCAGTCTTGAAATTTATAATGATGAACCATGATATCTGCTCTGGATAAAACACTCTGTAACTATGTCAGTTAGGATAACATACATAATGGGTCTCTTCTGTGTGTGTGCATGTGTGTAATGTAGATCTGAAGGAATGGTATATGTAGGTGGTAGGGCTGCACGATATCAGATTGCAATATAATTGTGATATGTACGCATACACAATAATCACCAGAGATTTAGTTAACGGGTGAACAGATTTGTTCGGGCACCTGCTTTTCAGTACTATATGATCCTCCATCTGTATAAATGTGGCATATACTTATGTTTATTAAATTTGGTTAGTGGAGCATGCCACATGCTAATGTTTTGGTAAATCATGGAAGCGATAAGTACTGACTTGGTGGTGAAGAAAGGGACAGCTCAACAGCCACAGCATATTTTCAAAGATGAGATATTGTGAATAAACAAGGTAAAAATGCACTTGTGGTGTAGTGGTTCCTTTTGCATTTTAAAGTCTGACACGTTCATTTAACATAAGGATAGGCCATATTTTTGCAGATTACTAACTTTTGGGCGTCACAATAAGCTTCTCATTAATATTGTAGCCGTACTACTAATCTGCTTATCAAATTGTTGGTGTGAGTAAACTTCCGTATAATGGCAAAAAGCCGGCGTCCGGATACATTTTTATGCCCATCATCTAGTGACCTGGTGATTATTGTGCATGAGCAAAACATATTCCAGATGTGATATCGTACAGCCCTAGTGGGTTGTGTGTTCTTAAATGTTGGATGTTCTAATTATTAGTTCTTATTATAATAATTGCAGTTTGTTGTGCTGGGTCTCAAGTACAGGTGGATTAAGTGAGGTGGTGGGTCCTAACCCTTCTACAAAGATCAGACTTGGTTCTGGAATTCAGATTCCACGTGACTGGTTTAGTATTAAACTGAGGTGGCTCAGTGGAGCTTATTCTGGTGGTGCTCAGACATAGTGTTTATTGATCTAAGGTTGATCAAATTAAAGTATGTTTAAGAAAAGAGTTGTTCCCTCAAGTGGACTACCGAACTTGTCTAGAACCTACGGGGACAGTCTGTCCCTGGCATATGTCGGCTCTGTGTGATTGGCTTTTTGTTTTTATGTGAGAGTTTCTTGGATGATAACTCTGTGGACTGGCCCTTTTCCCCTTGCAGGTGTAACCTGCCACACTTCGACGTCAGCTGGCTCCACGTACCATGTTGTGGTTGCCGCACCAGGTCGGCTCCCTAACCCGTGACACGGTCTTCCTTCTGCTTAAACTCTTCCGCCTGTCGAGCCCCCCGAGCCCAGGCACCTGCATCAACATGTACGCTACCCGTTTCTATGGCGGTGGCGGAGGCGGGGCCAAACAGGGCCGACGGGCTGGTGTGGTGGGGGCAGGGCTGCCCATCCCTGAAAACCACCACCAGCCTCTAGCCCCTCATGCACATCTGGCCACTCCGCAGAACTTCCCACCTGTCTATCAGGGACGGTTGGATGGGCACCGCACCCACTTCCAAGGTCATCACCACTATCACCCTCATCCCCAGCCTCACCCACCCCAGCCCCACTACCACCCCAGCGCCCACCTGCACCACAACAGAAAGAAGACTTGGAACTTTATCCACGAGAAAATGAGCTATGATACCTTCTTCACCATGAAAAGGTTGATCGATCGCTCACGCAGCGTGGATGAGGTGCTGCGCTGGGTCACGCAGAACCCCAGCAAGATCTCCTACAACCACTACCCCATCGCTCTGCAGAAGATCGGCCAGCTCCTGCAGCTACAGCAGGCCGTCGGTGTGACCGTGGCTGGGGTGGAGGGCGCCCTGACCCCCACGTCCGGAGGGACGGGCACTGGGGAGAGCCACTTCCGACAGGTTCTGGAGCAGCCGGAATTCCAGACTCTTTGTGATGCTATTGTAAGGGACTGCACCAAATTTGACAACTTCAGTATTGTCAACTGCCTCTATGCTGTGGCTGCGTTAGGTAAGATATCATTATAATGTAAAATCATGTTTCATTCAGGAAAATGGTGTCATGCTACTGTCCTGTCCTAAACGTGTATAAATCTGTCGCCACCCCAGGCCTCCCCAGTGAATCTCAGATAGTCCAGGTGCTGGAGGAGGAGTCACGGAGCCGCCTATCCCAGTTCAACCAGAAGGACATCTCCATGGTGTTCAGCAGCAGCATGAAGCTGCATCCATCCAGCCAGCACCCACTCATCGAGTCCTGCTTGTCAGGCCTGGAGAAGAACATCGAGCGAGAGCGCCACCCACAGACCCTCTTCCTGTTGCTGTCCTACTATCGACTCAAATGGCGCGCCCTGCAGGCCGATGGGCATTCACCCGAACAGCTATTAGCAAACCGCAAGATACTGAGACTGGTGAAGCACACGCTCGCCAGTGTCAGTAGCGTGCGTGACCATGAGATGGCGCTGCTGGATGAGATGTTGTCTGCCTGCGCCCGTGAGGCCAGTAACAAGTCCCTGGAGCTCATCTTTAGCTCCCACCTCTTCTACCAGAATCGTCAGGAAAAGTTTGTCAGCAGTCTAGCAGGTAGGCTATATGCCGTCTCTTCCCTTGTCAAGGAAAACCAGGACTACTGGGAGGGACTTTTGTGTTCCTAGTTTTAACTTTGGACCTGAACAAGCTGCCTCTTCTTAATAAGACAACATTCTTTGTCCAATTTTAGTTGGAGGGTTTTGCTTACATGTCACTTCTTGCTGCACGTTGTGAGCAAGATTAGGTATGGATCGAATAGGCTAGTCAGCATCAATGACCTTCTATCTCCTGGGTCTTGTGACAGAGGAACTGCCTAAGAAGGTGGAAAGCATCACTCCTTTCACCATGGCGCTCATTGCCAAATACATCGCTCGCCACCGGCTGCGTGAGACCCGTCTGCTGGACACTATTGCCGACTTCCTTGTCAAGAAGGGCGAGTACCTAGACAGCAAGGTATGAAGGCTGACTCCTCATTCGTATGCGCTGGGTGTATCCTGGCAAGGGGGTGAACCTTCAGAAATGTTGATACCTTCTAGTCCAGGGGTGTCAAACTCTAGTCCTGGAGGGCTGGAGCCCTACACACTTTTGGGTTCCCCTCATTTAACACACCTGATTCAACTCCTTGTGCTAATTATCACGTAGCTCTTGAGCCGAATCATTTGTGGTGGAACAGGGAAAGACCTAAACTACATATGGCTCCAGCCCCCCAGGACTGGAGTTTGGTACCCCTTTTCTAGCCCTTCTGCAGGCTTATGGTCATGTCTAACTTTGTCTCCTCCTTCCTTCACAGGTGATTCAGAAACTTGTGTTCCCCTTCAGCCGGATGAGCTACCGACCATCCAATGAGGCACTGTTCTTCTCCAAGCTGGAAGAGGTGCTGGAGCTCAAAGCTCTGAGCTCCCCACTGGCCACCGTGAACATCCTCATGTCTCTCTTCCAACTGGGCCACTTCCCAGGCCTGGTGCTGCACCGCGTCTTCTCCTCCTCCTTCATTAGTAATGTCACTAGTGAGTCTGGCTCTTACTCCCTATCCACTGCTCCTGCCACAAAGCTAGTGCACTGGGCATTTTATTTAGGGTTGTTTGACTCATAGAGATGTTCATCTTCGTTCAGTATTTTGTGGGCAGGGGTTCTGTGAGGAGGAACATAATTGGATTGGTCTGGGTTGGGGGCTCAATATGATATGCTTTCATGGGACCCAAAATCTGCAGTGGCTCCCCTGTTGGCGAGCACTATGCTGCACTGCACAGGTTGGTTTTCACAGGGAGCTTTGTAGCTCAGTCAGGGCAGGGGGTAGCAGAGGAGTAAAGTGTGATGGTGGGCTCCCTCCACTCAAAGCCCTTTTAGGCTTGGACAAATTACCCATGTGTGTAAAATTGTATTCACAGACAGACAGATCTAGTCCCTATGAATCAGGCTTCCAATAACAGTGATCTTGATATTTCCAGTGTGATAAGGTGGGGGAGGTTCTAGATGTTCATGTCCCCCCCTCCCCCCCCGATCCACAGACAGCCCGTATGCCCTGATCGTGAGGCGCTACCTGTCGCTGCTAGACGCTGCTGTGGAGCTGGAGTACCGCGATTACGACGGGCCGCGCCTGCAGGACGCCCACAAGGTGCTCATGTTCGATCACGCGCTGACGGCCGACGAGGTCAATCGCAAGTACAGGTGCGAAGCCACTTCCTCCTTGTTGTGATGGCTGCCAGTGCTCTGCCACTTCCTCCCTAAATGGCTCTGTGACTGTGTGCAGCTACAAAGGGCTGGTGGCAGAGGCCTTACGGCAGCTGGTGGGAGAGCATGGATACAAGCAGGACGAGGTGCTGGCCCCCGGCTATTATACAGGTACGGGGCCCCCGCCGAAGGGCGGCCTATCCATACACGATCATGAACTTGAAGAAGACAGTGGTCACTATCAGGTCTCAACGGGTGCAGTATTTGATCACTTAAGGTAACGAGAATGTTCTGTAGGATTCAGGACCAAGATTTAATCCATGTAGTAATTCACTGGACAAATTGTATAGAAGGTGGCACAGAACTACCTCAGAACTCGAACTTAATCCGTTCAGAACTCCAGATTCGAATCCTAAAAAGTTCGACTTCTGATTGAATTTTCCCCATAAGAAATAATGGAAAACCAACTAATTGGTTCCTGGCCCCCAAAAATTACACCTAAATGTGTTTTTTTTTTTTAGCATTTAAACACAAATGAACCGGATAAAACAAGAAGAGCATATACTGTACTAAACACATCTAAGCACATTTATCAAAACAATAATTTGTAAAGCAAGAAAATAAATGTATCCAAACAATGTGTAAAGTTAAAAAAAAAAAAAAAAACAATCTTTCCTGCCCCAAGCGTCCGCTCCTTCCGTGTGCCACGCCCCCTCATTAACCCCGTGTAGAATCCCCGTGTGATCAGCTGTTTCTGGTTGTTGTCATTAGTCCTCTGTATTTAGTCCGCGTTTCAATTTGTGTCCCCAGTCTGGTCACTGTATTGTCTGTCTGCGTTTTGCCTGCCTTACCTGTAATTAAACCCCGTATTACCCGACACCCTTTGTCGTGCCTTTGTCTCCGTTCTGTCCCCGCTTGGCGCGACCATATCATTAAAATGAAATGTATTAATGGTTTATTATTAATATGAAATTAATAAGAAATCTTTATTTTTAAATGTATTTTATTATATAATAATAATTACTGTTACTGTCTATCATTGTCTAAATGTATTTTTACTGTGTAAAGATATGTATTCAGTTAGTGTAAACATGCACGATGCTATCACAGCGAATGCGAGGCTGAGACTGAAGCGTTACCATTTGTTTCTGCTGAGAGACGTGCCGCGTGACTCATTTCCCCGCGCATACAAGTTATCTTAGGTCGGCATTCATGGTTTGAATTCTGAGGTTCAGATTGAGCTCTAGGTAATTTTTTTTTAACTGGTTGGTTCGACTTTCAAGAAATTCCAAGTTCTAATGAGTTTAAGAACTGAGGTACCACTGTATAAAATTTGCATGCAGGATTCTGTACAAAACCGTTCATAGGTTCTCTCTTCATGTTTTCAGATTTCCTGTTATTGGTCAACAGCTCTGGAAGTGTTCTGCCAATCAAGGCTGGGGCAGGTTCCCTGGGGGTGGGCGTCACCATCCCCCCCAAGTCCCCAGAGGCACAGGGCTCCTCTGTGGCCAGCCTTGCCTCTGACTTCCAAAAGTTCTCCCCCTTTGTCCAGCTGGAGGACAGCGCTGAGAAGAGGACAGGGGATGAGCTCGCGGCTTCTGAGCCGACATTTCTTCCACATCACATGAGGTCTGCGGCCCCCACTGCCACTGCCGCTCAAAGAGGGGCCCCGAATGGGGGTGGGCCACTCGACTACAGTCCTTACTACTCCTCGTCGGATTACTATGCCAGCCTGGCAAAGGAGCAGTCCTTGGAGAGTCAGGACAGCTCTACCCTCAGCAGTCCCTCTGATTGCCTGACACAAGCGGTTCCCCAGGGTACGGCCGGGGGGGCGCCCTCCGACTCCCTCTTCCAGTTCTCTATAGGCAAGATCCTTGAGGACGAAGGAAGCGCCACAGAAGCAGCACGGACGGCCGACTGTGAGCTCCCCACCTTCTACGAGGGGGTGCCGTACCCCGATGGGGGGCAAGGGGGCATCAGTCCTGCCCCGCCATTGCAGCCTCACACCACAGGCTGTCTGGAAACGGAGAGGGTGTCACGGGAACAAGAGCAGGTTAAGAGGTGAGTATCGGCATTCTTTAAATCTCGATGTGGTGATGATTTGCCCCGTGATGCCCGGCGTTCGCATGCATTTCCTTCCATGTGCAGGGTGGTCATGTCTGTGAACGACAAGTGGCACTACTGCCACAACTCAGACGTGCTGGTGGGCTCCCGTGCCATGCGAGACCGGCACCTCCAGCTGCTGGGCTACGTTATCCTGCAGGTGGGTCAGCTGCAGGCTCCTCTTTCCCATGGTCACTGTACACCTGTGTATCCTATTTTTGGGCAGTCCATGCATTTCTGAGAAGGACCTTTTAGCACTGGTGTTTGTTTTAGAGCTGTAGATGTGAACATTTTGACGCCAGTGGTGTGTGTGTGGTCCAGGTATACCTTACCTTGTGTGGACCAAATGTCCACAACGTGATGAGTACCCTTTTTTTTTTTTTTTTTTTAAACCTTATGGGGACCAGTTTCCTGTAAAAAATCCGTGACTGCAATGAAAAAACTAAAAATGCAAAATCTCTTGTATTTTGTTTGGTTACTTATGGCTATGGTCAGGGCTGGGTAGAGGTTAAGGTTGTCATAGTCAGCATTAGAATTTCTCCCACAGAAATGAAGGAGCGATTCCCACAAATGATTACACGACTATGTATATTATATGTCGGGTATCAAATGTCCCCACAATGTGATTAAAAACCTGTCTTTTTGATGTTATGGGGACCATTTTTTGGCCCCCACAAGGGGTAACTCAATTTTAGTCATATTTGTGACTGTAATCAAAAACCTAGAAATGGCAAAAGTCTTGTTTTGTTTGGTTACTTGTGGTTAAGGTTAAGGCTGGATAGAGGTTAAGGTTGTCATTGTTAGGATTAGAGTTTTTACCTTAGAAATGAATGGATGGTCCCCACAAAGATATGAATACAAACGTGTGTGTGTGTGTGTGTGTGTGTGCGTGTGTGTGCACTCTGACACCAAGCTCTGCCTTTGTCTCTCCTACCAGTTGCCCTACCTGGAGCTGGAGAAACTGAATGGCATCGAGGAGGTTAAGCGGTACCTCAACAAAAAGTTACTGGAGCTGCACTCATGACAGCAGCAGTGGTCTCAGTGGGTCGCGGTGCCGGTGGCTGTGGGCAGGATAGGCAGGGCTGCCCCAAAGATGATATTTTCTGTAATTGTTCCTAAGTCCCTTTTTATATCCTGTACTTAAGAAGTTGTGACGCATGTCAGGTACAGTTCAGGGTTGGAACAAATATTCTGCCATTTGGCAGGGTGGGGGGAAGGTAGTAATAGGGTCTGATGGCGAGGGACTCTGGCTGCAGACTTCATATTATTTTCAGTAACTGAACTCTATGGTCATTGGGGAATTTTGGGTTAAGAATTAAGCAAGGCTTGTTAATATTGTTTTATGATACTGGTGTACCAATGTGGGAATGTAGTTGTGAGGGTAATTTGGTATGCAGTACTCTGAAAGTTTAGCAAAAAAAAAACTATACAAATATATATGTATATTATATTTTCTATATGCTATAAGAAGAGGTTTCAGTGCAAAGCAATGCATGCAGTGAGACCCTTTTTGGCCTAGTGCTGATCCGTGTGGACCCAGCTATGGTCCGATAACACCCGACGTTCACGTGCATTACTTTAATCCTGGGTGTTCTGACTATTGGCAGTGATTCTCGGAGAGCAGTGAAATCAGACCCATCTCAAGATGTAGTTCTTCCTACATCTGCTTTGGATCAAACATGCCAACTGTAACTCTAATAATATTTCTTGTTATATTGTCCCAAAGAATGCCTATTCTGTTACTTTTGAGATCTCCGCTGTATACATGCTGGGTGTATACATGCTGGGTGAGTCATGGGCATGGTGTCACTGATGGGAATCATTAAAATCAAGGTGTACATTTCAGTCACCTGCATTTTGCCTCTGCCTGGATATCAGGCTGATCGTAAACCTGGAGGAGGACGTGGTGTTTCTGTCATGTCATGTGGTCGTCCTGTAAGAGGCCTCACTTACTGTATGGTTTGCCTTTGCACTTTAACAGAACCAGCCTATTTTGCGGAGCTCAGAGAGAGCAGTAATTTATTGTTGTTGTGGAACGTGTGGGAGGCAGATGGTATGTGTGTGTGTTTGGGGGGAAAAAGTGGGAAGGAAAGTGGGAGTGTTTGTTTATACATCCAAGTTAAAATGTCTATATAAAAAAAAATTAAAAAACCACGGGAAAAGTCTCCGGCTTCTCCTTGAATCGGTGAAGCTTTTCTCCCCAGCAGCTATCCTTAACTGTGGCTATCTTCATAGAGTGGAGGACTCCTGGTACCTGCCTTTCTGCTGAATGTTGTGTTTCATCTGTTTTTGGCCTCAAGAACCATCATTTCATCCACATTCATTTCATTGCTGCAGAGTTTTTGGGATCCCGCTCACGTTCAGCACAGAAGTTTGGCTTTTGTTCTCAAAGAGCAGATGTAGCTCCATAAAAAGGATTTATATGGATGGAGGAAGAGATGGTATGATGGTGATGCCATGAAAATCAATATAATGCTGATAATTAGTATGTTGACTGAACAGCATGTGAACATGATAAAGAAACCACAATATTGTGGGGGAAATCACGCACAAGGAGATTGTGAAGGAACCTATTTCTGGTATGTAAGTATACCTCATGACAGCATAGAGTGATATGTTCTTTGGTCCAATGTGGTATGAGAATAACTGAAAGACTGAAAGCACTAAAAATTCACAGGACAGAATGAATGCCAGCCAAAAACCAGAGAAGGGAAGCTTTCTCCAGGTCCTCTCCAGCTCTTTAAGCTTCTTGGTGAGGTCCTGATTGCTCATCTCCACATGGATCATGGCATACTTGGTCCTCTTCTCCATGAAAAGGTGGAAGTGTCATGGAAATGGACAGTGTTGAGGCCGTGCAGATCTCGTGTGTAAATTCATGCAGCATGGAAGATGTTGCATGCTCTGCTGCTCCCTTTAATTCATCAAAAGTCTTCCTATGTAATTAAATACTGTATTCCCTTAAGTCGGTTTCAGAGGTTATCCACTTCAAACTTGATTACATTTATTTATTTATCAAAGCGACATGGATGAGAAAGCAGGGTTAGCCAGTCGCTGGAAAAATGAGGGTTTAGGGTCTTGCTCCAGGGCCCAATGGTGTCATCATGTTACCATCCATTGGATTTGGACCTTCATGATCAACCTGCTGAGTCACACACCACCTGATCATATCCGATCACTAAGAAAAACCTGCACTGGCAGTTAAAATTGAAAAATTATACCAAATCTCACGAATTACAGTGAAAACTCTACCCTAACTCCAACACTGACTGTAGCCCCAAACCTAACCCAAATTATAAGCAAAAGCCCAACTGCAACCATAGGTCCAAACCTTATCCTAACTCCAACACAAACTGTAGCTACACCCTAACCCTAGTACCATCTCTAACCCTAACTATAATCCTTACTGTATTTCCAACCCTAACTCCAATGGGATACACTTGCTTGTGGTGTGGAACTTGTATTTCAAAAAAAATTTGTAGAGATATATCAACACTAGCTTAACATAACCAAAAAGCTAAACTAGGCACAGACAATTCAGCAAAATACCTTTCAGCACAGCCTCTGCATGCTAACTCTAATGACAACACATTAATGAACATATAAATATAATTACACAGAAATCATGTAACATTTAAAACTACTTCCATTTTGCTACTAGTATCAGTGATATGGAGGTTCCAGGTTGGGGGGCCGAGGGAGTCGCCTTTCCCGCTATTTTTACTTAAACTGCACCTGCCCCATAACTGTCTGCGTGTGAAGAGGTAAGACCAATGTGCGATGTCCTCCCATGGTAAATTTATAGTAATCAACTAAGTATATGATTACAGTAACATAAATATACCATAACATCTATTACATTATATTCCAGTAATGTCCTCTGAGACGTTTGTCGTAATTCTAAGGGCCGCATGAATTATTTGACTCGCCGTTGTAGCGATCGAAGAGGTTCTGTTCACGGACAGAATTTTCTCACATTTTACCAGAGCAATACAGAGGATTTTTTCAGCGATATCCCGTCATTGAATTAGTGCAGAGTCAAACTGAGACATGGAAGGTCGCGGAAATGCCGGCGAGTTGCAGTAGTGTTTAATTAGCTTGTTATTTCCCCTCATAGCCGGCCGTTAAAAAGCGAGCACGGGAGGTGTGCTGAGCTCCCCGGCTGACATAACCCGTCCGACGCCGAGAGGTATGTCAGTTAGAGTACATTAATTCTTGCTGCTTTATGCTTAGGGATGGACGATACCACTGCTTTAAACTTGCCAACGGGGGTGCTGACGATAAAATTTGCGAGGGGCAGTGATGCTAGAGCAGGGGTCACCAACCTTTTTGAAACTGAGAGCTACTTCACGGGTACTGAGCCATACGAAGGGCTACCAGTTTGAAATGACCTCCTACACTTATCTAAACATCATGTATAATAAACATGTTTTAAATGATTTTTTTTAGATATTGTCCACTTTCAAATCTACATAAATGCAAATGTGATTAAAGAATAGCAACAGGATAAAATTAAATTATCTTGTCATGCTGCTCACTGGTGAGTTGTGCTACTTTTAGAACAGGTCCGTGGGCAACTCATGTGGTCCTTGGGGGCATCCTGGTGCCTGCAGGCACCATGTTGGTGACCCCTGCACTAGAGTATCGAACGATTTCCCTGCTCTTTAGTGAATCCAGTAAGCCCTTCCCTTTCTCTCTCGTTATGGGCAGCCCTGCCTGTAGTAGTTCATGTTCTGCTCCCTATAATAATATAAACATTTGAATTAGCAGGTAAAAAGATATTTTACCGCTAAAATCAATTCTCAAAGTGAAACACTGATAAAAATAATCGATATTTCAGTATTGATCCACACATCCTTACTCTACACTGCCCTAAGGACTCTGGTACCCTTAAACAGGCACATAGATTTACTGCTTTGATATAACTATATTGTTAATGAACTAATGTAAATGGATTTGTCACGAGTCACCAACGTGACATTTATCACAGAACTTTTAGTAATCCCAATACATGAATAATTTCATCAAAAACTAAGACAGTATTGTCTTAAACCTAAACTGGTCTGTTTTTGAAGCCAGGGTATCATTTGTGTTTGTGCAGATTTACCAAGGGTATGATAAAAAATACAGCATTTCAGTATAACCTGAAATCTCATAAGAATGGAAAACATTAACTACAATATTCTGTAAGAAAACACCAGCAGATACAGCCATTCACATAAAAAGACCAGTAGCAGTGTTTTAAATATAAAATTTAATTTTTGATCAATATATTTGAACAGAATTTGTACAGAGGACAACATAACACCACCACACATTTTGGAGGCTGACTTCATAAGAGAAGAAAAACAGCGGTCATGCGATACTCTTGACATTCTCTCCATATTTATACCAAGCATACATACTGTTCTTAAATCATTATCTCAAAAATAAAACCACAATCATGGATATTTCAGTACACCAAGCTATGATCAGATTGTGAGCATGAAAAACATCTTTCTCACTGGTATGCAGACCATGTGTAGATGTAGACATACTTGACAACTTTGGGTACTTCTTAGTCAGATAATTCATAGAACTAAAATGTGATGTTCGGGTTTGTGGAGCATAGAGGAGATACTCAAAGCAAGTTAATGCTCAACAGGGTTTGAGATTACACACAAGGCTCTACATAACATGTTGTTGGGCTTTACTGGGCTCAAACCTTTCTGGAAAATGCCATATAGACTTGGTCTTAATGTTACAAAGCAGGCATTTACAGATTTAAATGCTGGCCAAACCTTTACCTTGTACTTTGCAAACATATCCTGTTGTGACAGCGAACTTAAGTGTTTTCATTCAGAACTGGAAGGGTGCCCTAGAACAACTTCAACAACAGACTAAATGTAACAGACACCCATGAATGTGACACTGCAGGAGAATGTAACAGGCATGTGTAATCTGGTTACTTCAGCCCCTGAACAGGACACACCAGATCAGTGTTTCCCAACCCGGTCTTCAGGGACCCCTAGACAGTCCACATTTTTTCTCCCTCCCAGCTCCCAACACACCTGTACCAGGTATTCGAAGTCCTTGATTGGCTGGGATATAATATGTGGACTGTCTGGGGGTCCCCAAGAACAGGGCTGGGAAACAGTGGCTTAGATGAAACCTGAACTTGTGCAGCCTGGAATGTCCCCTTTTTGTCCCTGCTGCTTTGATTTGATCATAGAATGCGATTCCAGGTTTCTGTTCAACTAGCTTTAGTGGCACTAACTATGAACTAACTTTGAGACTAGGGCTCCAAAGATTAGAGGTGACCCTCAGTGTACAGGCAGGGAAGCCTTCATTTAATCTACTACGTGTTATAGAAAAACATCTATTCAATTCAAAAGCATAGACTTATTTATCTGAACATACATGTAAATATGTAAATAAATCCCCACCCATTGTTAATACAATGTTGAAAAGCAGTCAAAATTGGTGTCCAGTTGTAGTGTGCAACATGTAGGATAGATGATGTTTAACAGGACAATATACTGACACACTGCTACACATATACATAAAATGAATTTGCGTAGTTTCTCATTCTTTGTCAACCACAGTTTAACACAGTTTAAATGCTAAAGGGGGGTTGTTTAAAGGTTCGTCCCAATTCACGCGGACTGCATCATTTTATAAAAAAGGTAAAGCTGTAATAGATGAATGGTTTCATATGCTGAAGGCACAATAGGAAATAATAGCAAAAAAGAGCCATTCCTTCCTTCATACAGGGATCGCCTTTCACACTGTGTGTAAACTGCAGCATCTAGTCATGCCTCTGGCAGGCCTCCTGTAAAGTTGCTTCGTACCTGTTCACTCCAGACAGCCAAACTGCTCATTCCACATTTTAGAAGAAATATCGCACAGAGAACAAAAGAGCCACCGTACAACACTGGAACTCCCCAGTGACCAGGAATCTCCATAACTTCCAGTTCAGTTAACTTTAAATGTCGGTGTCAGCCTTGTCATGTAAACCAAGTAATAAAGAATTTTAAAAAGTCATCACAGGTAAGTAGTCTCACACTGACTAAAATAGCGGTGAGGCACCCAGTTAAAATTCACAACTTACTGTAGTAATATGATAAAAAAAAAACACTAATTTGTCAGGTTAATTTAACACAAATTGGAAAGAACACAAGTGAAAAGTTGCAGTGAGAAAAGAAACAGGACCTCGGGCATCATGATATGCACGCACAAAACAACGAAGACTGACCAGAAATATGTCTGACAAGATGCAGCGTGGAATTTAGCCTTTGGTTCTATAAGAGATGGAGGAGACCGACTTGTAGATCATAGAAGATCAAGGGGAGCTGCGTATGAGGCAACGACAGCTGCTTTGAGTCACAGTGAGATGCAGCTTTTTTTTGGTGTGGTGAACTACAGCATCAGTCAGCCTAACGCTACTTTAAGTAAGGAGAATGTTAAGCTCTGCGTAGTCGTTATGTACTCCAAATATGAAAATGACCACATTCACAGGCATTTTAAAAGAGAAATTTCTGCTTCTGTTTCATCTGGTCTAATCACTGAATTATTCAAGAGACAACACCTGCAAGGTGATCTTTAACCTGGACTGTGCTGACTCCACAAGCCAGATGTTAATAAACAATGAACCACAGTCAACTTTCATCATTGTGCTGAAACTGACTGCACAGTGAGCCACTGGAAATCATTGGTGCAACCAAAGGAAAGCAGACATTTCAACTACAGAACATAGCTGTGAGCAAAAGAGCAACAGAGCAGAGTAGGAGCTATCCCCCCCATTTGTGACCGAATACCATGTCTAGGTTTAATGCTGGGAAGGACAGGACAGATACTTGGACACCACAGACAATACAGGGATTTTCCAGATAAAAAGAAGCTAATATATGACGGTTGACCAAAAATGTTGCTTTTTTGAGATTATTCATACCTATCACCACATGTGGAAAATGGGAGGAATAAAAGCAAAGGAAACACTAGCATGGGTCATGTGTAGGCATCCATGAGGAAGCTGTCAGGAAACAGGTGACCTGTGACCCCTCAACCATGTGTTACTGCTTGGGAGTTTAAATAGTGAATCTCATAGTGTGTGACACCTCAACACCTGGTTCCCATGCCAGCCACCTTAACCCATGTTTCTGTTAAAAAAAAATGTTCGATGATATAAAATCAGAAACGGTGATACATTTACAAATGTACATGGGCTGCTGCCCTTCTGCCACTGCCTAATTGGAGGGGCGTCTCACACTGGCATGTGCATTTCCGTGTACTCGTCCTGCCCCTCCTTTTCATCAAACGTTGGCTCTGCCTCATCTGAGTCCAGCTGTAACACAACCACAGAGAGTTCAACAAATGGGGTCAGTCTGGATTAAAAGAATGCCTGTCATGCAGTGCATGTGCACCCTCTTTTGGGTAACTTACGCATTGCATTTCACGTGTAGTGAAAATTTGGGGCAAGAGGAACATCTTGAGTGGGACTGTGAGGATGAGGACGAAGGGGAAGGCCAGTGAGGCCACTGTTGACATCACTGCCCAAAGCACTGCCAAGCAAATCAGCTGGATGCCTGTGAAGAGGTGCATACGCAAGGTACGGACCTGGAGAAGGAAGGAGAAAAGTGAGTTCTTATAAACAGGGGACATGCTTTCAGGGAACTCCAGCAAAAGAGTGCAAATCAAATTAGTGGGATTTCAACAAGCAGCAGACTATTTATGATGTTCATTTATGATGATACTTAGGTAATATAAAATCTGTAGCCCCCCACCACTCCAGGTACCTTTCGCACATAGCTGTGATCAGGATGGTACTTTGGGGGCATCAGCAACAACATCATGCGTTCAGTGAGCTGGATGCCGTTGAGTGACATCACACCCATGTAAAGGAAGATGCCGAAAAGCACAGCGATGGGGATCTGGCGCAGGAGGTCACCGATGACAATGGACAAGCCTGCAGTGGTAGGGGAGACACGGTGTAAAGTCAGATATCAGTATGTAGGACAGGCGGGAAGGTGGAGGGAAAACAGTGAGAGTGGAAGAGGAGAGAAAAGGCAAAAGCCAAAACTCCAAATTAGTCTGTGTGGACCTACCCACAAGGATGGCTACCAGGAGCCCAGTCACCCTTTGCTCCTTGACCTCCTGGATGCGGGGTTTGTCTCCTGGGGCAACGGCTTTGCTCATGACGGTGAGGGCATTGACATGCGTGACCGAACGCACAGTGGCAGCCGCGAGCCAGGGCAGGCCAAATAGTGCGGACACGCCGCCAAGGACTACGATGATCAGCAGGTCCAGATGAAACCCAGAACCCTTTACAAGCATTCGCTCTTTCTTACTGACAATCAGCCTGGGAGGGGGAGACCAAAAGAACAATGGAGGGGGGGTGAACTGTGCTCTGGGGCAAACATGTTAACACTTTGCCCGACCTTCATCCCTGGAGGCCCTGAATGAACCCTTGTTTTCAGTTGGTATAAACAATCATGCAGGACTCTTGAGCACTACTGATCTGCTGTCTGGGCTTCACATCAGGTTAAGAACATGTTGGGGAGGGGGTCTCACGTGGTGATCTGTGTCTCCATGAAGATCAGGATGAAAACCAGGATAGCAGGAAGGAAACTGGCCGCCATCATCCAAATGGGAAACTGGCCGTCCGACCCCAGTGGATTGATCACCCAGCCACGCTTATCTGGGCTGGTCACTGAGAAGCCACTGGGCACGCTCAGTTTCTAAACAGGAAGCAGAGGATATGGTCAGCAGCCAGGGGGCACCACTTTCTTCAGAATATTACCACATTTCCAGGTAAGCAGGGCTGACAAACTCCAGTCTTTCTGCAAGCCAGTGACCTCATCTCTTACACTTTTGAATGATTAATTTTAATAATATTAAACCAACATTAGCTATCATTAGAAACAGAGACATTTTGGGTGGCATTATTGCCTTACATCTTCAGTACCGGCAGTAACTAGGATGGAAGATTGACGTGTAGGTTTTTCTCATAAGTTGGAGATGAACCTGCAGTTTCAATGGATAGTACACACATTTCTTGCTCTCTACGTAGAGACTCAACCTCACCTGTGTGTAGGTGTCCTTGATACTGTAGTCCACCATGACCATGATGAGGATGGCAATGGGAACCCCAAAATCACCAATCACTCTGCGAAACTGCACAACAGGTCAGAAGAACAAGGTTAGGCTGGAGTTCCCTGAAAGCATGTCTCCTGATTCCACCAAACCCCATATGTTTGACCAAAAGGCAGCAAGGTGAAGCCTCAGAATGAGGCCTTTTTGTGATTAACAAGTCATTTAGCTGCTTCAACAAATCCCCAAGTGGCTGCACTACAGGCTGATGGTGAGATTTCCAGAATGAATGTACTCACCCTGCCAGGAAAGAAGGCACTATTTTTGAGCTTGCGCAAATAAAAGGCAATGAAGAAGGTGCCTGACATAAGGACCAGGGACAGCAGGGCAGTATTGGGCTCTCCTCGCTCCCTGGGGGGAGTGGCGGGTGCCACTGGTGAGCCGTTGGTGATGGCTGTGGCAGAGTTATTGCTGCCCCCTGCTGTGCTGTTCAGGGTACAAGGCTGCAGAGGATGATCCTGAAAAATCTGGGTATTCCACACACACCAGAAACAGTCAAATGCTGAACAACCACCTACAAAGATCACACAATATCACAGTCATAAACCAGGTCTTTAAAAGTATACGTTTCACTTTTACTCTGTGTAGCCATTCTATGGCACCTGAAATTCTGATGAACGAATCAAAGAATCATAATTTATTATCTACGCTGCATATGTGGTTCCAGCATTCAGAGCAGCATGGTCCTGTTCTCACCTTGCCCAACTTGGAGAACGTCTCATAAATGAAGATGAGGGAGATGAGGAAGGAGAAGATCTCCTGGGTAAAGCGGGAAACGAATCGCACCAGGAAGCTGCCCTCGAAAGCCACCATGAGCACGACGATGACAACAAGCCAGAAGCCAATCCATACTCGCCCTGTCAGATAATCCAACTCATTCGCCTTGGAAAACTGTGGGTCAGACAGACGGCAAGACGAGCAGAAAGAGCCATGTTTAGAATAGCCTTTGCAGGAACCAAGGTTTGTAGCTGAAAATGACATCTCTGAAATCAAACACATTCTTCCATAAGGTTTCTCTCCCATCTCATTTCAGTAGATGAGGATGCCGTACACCTACTTTGTGATGGCTTTTTCAAATTTAGAAATAGCACTGATTTCAACCCAACAGATGAACTGTCATTGGCAACAACAATGACAACAGTATAAGAGCTGAAATGCAGGAGGATGGATGCCGTGAGGAGGGTGGGGCTGCTATGCAGTTTCAATAACTTGGTTTGGGTCCAATGGGTAACAGCATCAGTGTCTGATAATGCACAACAATCCCACCCACCTTCGGCCTCGACCCCTTATGATCTCCACCACTAGGTCACACCCTATGTCTGTCAGTGGCTGATCTGAAAGATTTCACACAGCCACACGCTGGCAAAGGCCGGTGGCTCAAAGACAGGTCATTAACGACAGCTCACGTGTTGGCTGACTTGTACAGCCGCATCGGCCCAGCACTGGCTCCCTGGCAGAAGAAGCGAGTGTGGGGGGGACTCACTGAGAAGAAGGCCTCCTCAAACACTAGCAGGGGCCCTGAGAAGCCCACCACCAGGAGGGGCTGTGCCCCAAGCAGGCAGAAGAGGATGCCCTGCATCGCTGTGGCAATGATCAGCTCTGATACGCCAATCAGCCCGTTGGTCTTCTCCCCTGAGGAACAAAGAGAAAGGGGATCGGGGGGGGGGGGGCAGGGCAGTTAGGTGTGATTGCACTTTAGTGCCATTTCATTGGACAAAAAGTTAAGCATCAGTACTGGTTTCCAACATGTCTCTCCATAAAAATCTAAACAACTTGCACAGAATCCTTTTTATTTCATTATCCGGGATGCACATGACCAGTACACCAGTACACATTCAACGTATAAAGCGTGTAGCAATTTCTTCTTATGATGTCATGACAACGCAAATGCATACTTATTTTATGTGCATTTGTGCTGTTACAAGAAATCACTGTGTGTTCTAACCTTTATATGGTCAATGTGAACTTCAATTGGGGTATAAACAGTACAATGCACAGTGATTTCTTGTCACGTTATAGAGTGAATCCGTATTTGTATACCAGTTTAATGCATCCATGATCATAATAATTATTTTTCAAGCATTCACAGTACAACACTGAGCACAGCAAGAGAGAGCTGGCCTCACATACAAGGCTGTCACCAGGAAAGATCCTTCACACTACTTTGGCAGATCATTGGTTCTTGGTGAAAGGTGACTCCACCCACTCACCCAACAAGCCGCCAAACGTGATAGCGGGGGATAAGGCAGCAAAGTAGATGAAGATGACAGCCGCCATACACTGGGGATTCAGGGCGTCCCTGAAGTCACTGACGTACTTGGGGTAACGCCGGCAGATGTCGTGAATCAGCCCCCCGAAAGGCCGTCCTGTCCGCTGCAGGGGATCATCGCTGGGCTTGAGGGGGGTGAGGAAAGCCTCTGTGCCAAAACAGGGATTGGAAAGATGGCCATCACAGTGATGTCCCATATGCAGGGGGCATAAAATCCATACAAAGTGGGAGGCTACATCATCAGTGCTAACCACATAGGTAGCTCAGGAGGGTGTGTGGACCAAGCCTCCTTACCCCTGTCCTGGGTGCTCTGCACGTCCTTGGCCAGCAGCTTGACCTCCTGCTCCTCGCGCTTTCTCAGCATCTCCCTCTGGAAGCGCGCCACGGAGCGCAGCAGCTCCTCCCCCCCCACTTCGGATGGCGGCAGCACGATGCTGCAGTCCAGGAATGCGTTGATGGCATTGAGCAGATCCTGGCGCTCGTCGGCCAGATAGGCGGCCTCATGGAAGTACTATGAGCCAAAGAGGGGAACTGAGTCTGGACGGCTGTCTCTCAGTCTGACACATCACCCCTGAACCAGGTAACCAACATGTTGTTGAAATTTTATCTGATGCTGCCTTGAATTGATCTAGAGGCCGCATGACCAGCTGTCATACAATTAAATGATTAATAAGATCTTTCTGCCCCAGTTGATTATGGTCTTGTATTATAGAATCAGAGCTTTACCATATCTATATCCATCAATATTAGTATACTCGGACCACCTTGGCCCTATAATATAAAGCAGTGGTTCCCAAACCATTCCTCGAGGCCCCCAAACAGTCCACAGTTTTGCTCTCTCTCAGTTCTAAGTCAATCAAGAACACTGAATACCTGGTACAGGTGTGTTGGGAACTGGGAAAGAGTAAAAATGTGGATTGTCTGTAGTTTGCTGAGGACTGGGTTAGGACACACTTACTTGATGCATTAGCCTCACTTCTTCCTGGCTACCCAAACACCACAGGCAGCTGCAGAACAGCCCCCTGTGCCTCTACAGGTGCCCCAACCCGATGTGAACCTGCGAGACATACCTTGTCCGACATGAGGGTGGAGATGGAGCGGCCGATCTGATGGTAGTCCATGTTGGTGCTGGGTGGGCCCAACAGGATGAAAAGGAAGCGGACCGGCACTGGTACTTCCAGGACCGACTCAAGGAGGACGGCCTCTTGCAGTCGCACAAATGCCATGGTGGGCTGATCCAGGAAGTCCACACACCCTGCAAGATCAGATGTCACCCATTTACATGTGACCTAAACCCAAACAGCACACACGGGCCCTCCTCATCCTACCTAAAGCAGCAAGTCAGAATGAGGTATTCTAACATAGAGAGAGTCACAGCAGAACTCAATTTACCAACAAGAACGACTGTGGCTTCTGCATTGTCTGGGATCTTCTCCAGAAGTTTCAATTCGTGTTTCGATTTGGACCTGTGCATGCCCAGTACTGGAGTACTCTCCTTCTGCATTAGAAAGTCCAAGAACAATTCAAGCACATTACACAGGGGACATACACGGTTCACTTGAAGGACTGTTACAGCAAGGGAATGTGTAGCTGCTTTCACGTCCTGCAAACTATGCAAACTCCAGCCAAGACCCAACAGAATAGAGCTGCAAGTCATCTGAGCTTAACAGAGATGGGAGAAGATGAATCCAACCATTCTATCCCGGTACTCCTTGTCCCTTTGACACATGCATGATGTAATTTCAGGCAGTAGGTTGTGTTTGGTGGGTGACGTACCTCGTTCTTCTCAATATTGACGCGGGTGTCATTCTCGGAGCCAGAGGCACTGCCGCTCATGAGTGGATCAGTAATAGAGGGCTCTGCTGGAGGGATGTGGTTGGTGCTGTGGTAGTGGGACATGAGGGAGCCCAAGCTGGACGCCGAGATGTTCCTGGGGAAAGAGTGGTCTTTTTCGTCGCTTGGGTGGCTGGAGGGGGCGGAGGAAGAGGGGATTGTGGGAAAATGACAGCGAGTACAGAAGGGAGAAGATGAATCCCAGCAAATCCATTCATGTTTTCAAATCATTTTTCAAACATCTAGTAAAAAAAAACAAAAAAAAAAAACTTTTTTTCATAGATCCCCTTTGAAATTCATAGAACGGATGTTAATGATCTGGCGGATGTCCCTTCTCACCTGTGTTTGAGCAGTAGTGCTCTCAGCACATTGGCACGGTCGTCAGCCGTGATCTGGTCCGTGATGATCATTTGCTCCACCACCTGGTGAGCGATGCCGGGCAGGGTCTTCTGGTCCAGGTCCAAGAGAACTGCCCCTGAAGACAGATTGAACCCAATGACATTTCAGTCTTTCAGGTGACACTCTGCTCACCTCTCTGGCAACCCCAGCCCTCCGATCCTTAATGCTTCATGTCGTCTTCTGTGATTTATTCCTTTTTTGTATTCAAATGAAAGGATCAAAGAAGAATAAATAATCTTTCTTAATTACATACTGGAAACCTACAGTAAAGTACGTGTGAAGAGCACAATTCTGACTGGGCATCAGAGGTAAGCCACACCCCCAAAACACACCTTGAGCAATGGTCCTACGCAGCTCCAGCAGGCTGCGGAAGCTGAGCGAGGCTACATGGGGCTTGCCCCAGCGCTCCGTCTCCTCCTCCACATCCTCCTCAAACTTGATCCATCGAGCTGTCTCCCGCCACTGCATCTCCTGATTCTTGTCCATGATGAGCTCGTTCAGCTCTACAAATACCTGAGGGACACACAGAGACAGACACAACCACAATGCAGAAGACACTGGTCAGAAAGGAGGCACCAGACTGTAAGATAGACATCGTTCCTCTGGCTCACAAATCACCTGCTCATCCCGCGATATTGTCACGCACCGCTCACCTGCAGCCTCATGGACATCTAACCTGAGTAACTTTCTCATCATTTGCTGATGAAATCTTAAAAAGGTTAGACAACGCATTTCAGTCCAATAAAAATAGTGAGGGTATGTGGAATTTAAATGAATGCAATTCTGTATCTGATTTACACAGCTAGAGCATCCCATCAGGTGTGGTCCAGGCAAGGCCCTAACCCCCTCCAGGAATGCAAGGAACGGTGTCCAAGTCCAACACCGGACACTAATCACATCTCTAACTGTGGGTAAGGTCATTGACTCCTTAAGCCATGTCCATTTCCTGGACTACCCAGATTTCTGTAAACACCTGGAACCGAACACCTCCTAGCAGTCTGAATGAGCTTTTCTCACGCCGAATTGAAGTAAATTCATTTACCTTTAAATAGCCACCTGATACCCGACCGACACACTTTCTTTAAAGCGGCAGTATATTGGTTCTGAGCAAAAAGCACAGCACAAGAGTGACCAGGTAGCCTCCGTTTGTAAATGGCTCTTACCATACAGGAATCTCAGTCTATACATGGCTCTGACCACACAGAACACAGAAGTTACCATTTGCACACGCATGCATACACTTCCGACCACACAGAAGCCTCAGTGTGCACATGTTTACACACCTCTGACCGCACAGAAGCCTATGTTTGCACACGTGGAGGACCCAGCCTCCCAGAGATACTGAATAATTAACCTGACGCACCTTTCGGCTGAGCCAAATGCCGCATGCACACCTAGCTAAGCCCGGCTGGTGTCCAAGGTTGGGAGTATTCACCTTACTACACTACCTACTCCTAAATGGGGTGAGCGATGGCTGCTCACTCCTATCACCCCCCGCCACTAAAACCTGTTGCCCCCTACACACATGCTCACCTTCCGTTGCCAGTCCGCATCATACTGGTAATCCAACCAGACCATGTTGCGGGTCGCGGTAGAGCAGGACAGACGCATCTCCAGCCAGAGATGCTCACACCTGACCTTCCAGCTCCAAAAAGAGGTGCCTCGCACACCTGGACATGCACATGCCCGCCCTGAGGGAGACTCGCAGTCTAACTGGCGGCCGTAAGCTCACACTAAATAAAACATGGATGGCTGACTGACTGACTCTATGGCTCTGGGGTCCTGTTACCTGTTTTTTTCTTTTTACGATGTGAAAGAAAAGACGCAAGTTCATTCATTTTTAACTCCACTACACCTCTCCGTCCCTCCCTCTCTCTCTCGCTCGGACAGGGTCATGCAGGTGAAGGAAAAACAGGTATAAAGTGAACGTCTTTTGTGACAGAAGGGGTGCTGGGCCCCCACTGACTGGACCACCCCCCTGACACCCTCCCCGCAATATATCTGTATGGCTTCTGCTTGCTACCATACAACTGAACAGTCACAGCACTCTTTCCACGTCAGATTTTGTTTATTCTGGCTCTTCGGGCCATCTCACCTCGTGTGGGGTGCGGTCCAGTTTCCGGCAGCGAGTGCTGGGCTCTTTGTGGTCCTTGCTAATGTGCACCACCTGACCCTTGGTGCTCTTCCTGACCAAGTGACGCCGTACCCCAGGGACATCCTCGAAACGGTGGCCTGAGATGGGCAGATGTGGGCGAACGTGAGGGACCAGGCATCTCCTGGCCTGCTCACGTCGCATCAGTGGAAAAAGTGTGGAGTGAAAAGTAAGCTGCCCCCCCCCCCCATCCACATTCAGGACCTCGAAGATCCTACTGCAGATGCCAAGAGACAGCCTGTTTCTCTACAGAATCCATCAGCTGCTGAGTCTCATCCAGTCTTAACCAAGGTCTGAGCCAGCTGACCTTCACCACAAACAAGGCTTTAGGATCAGCCTATTGACAGCAAGCTATTCATAATTGTTTCAATAGTGACTTACAGAAAAAAATTGACCCACATGATGGAATATGTTTAACTAAGTATAAGTGAAAGTACAAGTCAGACTTGAGATACATAAGATTCTTGTGCCCCCCCCCCACCTTGAAGGAGATGGTTACATCAAACGGTGTAAAGGACATCACATAATAGTCCATATAAAAGTTTGTCAACTGGTGGTTGACAAAGACAACAAACCGGTCAACATGAAGCCATGTCATCAACCACTGATGACACTGATGATCAATTTTTGTAACCGATCACCACACTTGCTGTGAGAATGTTTGATAAGCACAAAATCCTCTTCACCAGACTTCAGGTCTGAATGGTGCAGATCTGAAATGTTGGGTTTGATTATGAGGATGGAAATGAGAAAGCTAATTCCATTTTAAGGGAGGGATTTAAAACATGCACCAAAACATGCATCACTATTAACAGCACTTCATACAAACCTGTAAAAATTTCAGAGGTGAATATTACAGAGTTGCCAACCCCTCCCAATCTTTATGTACGTACAGCTCTGCTCCACCTTTGAGCGTGGTGACATTTTTTGCATTCCAACAAACCACTGGTCAATTTGCATTGCGGTTCAACAACATTTACATTTATTTATTTAGCTTTTATCCAAAGTGACACTTTTTTTGAGAAAGCAGGGTCGGCCAGTCCCTGAAGCAATTATGGGTTAGGGGTCCTGTTCGGGGCCCAGAGGTGAAATCACTCTGTTGATTCTGGGATTTGAACCTTCCAATTACATCCTAGCATCCTAACCTGTTCAGCTACACACCAGCCACTGTTAATCCTCCGAGACCACCCACAAACAAGTAATCTAATTATTTTTTCCTCAGTGTTGAGGCCCTGAATTGTTCCCAAATTTCCTGTGTCCCTTATTCTAGCATTAAGTCCCTACCTTGGAGCCGACTGGGCTACACAGGTAGGGTGGAGATGGTACATGGTGTGAACCAGGCAGCCTTTTACTCATAATGAGTCAAAAACTCCACAAACAAGTAATGGACACGAAGATGAGGACCAAAGAATGAGCTGCTTACTTACTCAGGTTATGTGGATTTCGGTAAAATCCCGAAGATCTATTTGAAATGTTTCGCCTTTGATTTCCTTTGAGTGAATGCACTCTTTTGTTGTGCCAGTTTATAGAACAGCAGCAGTCATAACTGCGTCTGAACACAAAGCAGATTGACGGATGCGGAAAAACACAATTGTAGTGGGCAGATCTGACCCTCCCAACAAAGGGCTGAAATTCCTACAGAATGAGCAGCACGGATGGGGAGGAATGAAAGGCCACATTTGATTTGCGGTCATGTGCTTCTAGAAGGCCTCCACGTTTGCATCTGATCAAAGTTAATTAAATGCGCTCTGTATTTCCTTTCTATGGACACAAGTGTATAATGGAAAAGGATGACATTTTCTGACCGTTATTACAATTCTTGATTAGGCCACTTGAATTTTCTATTAATACCAAATAAAGATGGTTCCTGTCACAGTGTATTTTCTGACATGAGTCTATACCAAGAAATGAGGCTTGATGTATGGTGTCATAGGGTTTCTTGGTCAGTTATTCACCGTCTAAGCTACATACCAAGTATTAGAGTTTGCCCTGAGTTTTTAACCTTTTTCCACATGAAGCATATTTATGGGTTGTCATGGAATCTTAGCAACTGGCAAAAAGTACTCACTTTTGATGCCATCCAAGTCCACGGTGGGTAGCATCTGTGCCTCGCTCTCGTCCGTGGGGATGCGCTCATAGTGGCCATGTTCAGCGGCCGTCATGTTACCCGTGCGGCGCCGTTCCTGAAGGTCATAGCTGCGGCCCGCTTGGGACACCTTGGACCCCGTGGGGGTGCAGCGGCCCGGGGGGCTACCCGAGTCCGCTGGGCAGGTCGGTGAGGACGGCATCGAGGAGCAGCTGGAGGCCACCTTTCTGCTTTGGGGCGGAGTTGACACCGAGTCACTGTAAAGGGGTCGGAATGAGACACTCAGAGCAGAGCAGAGGAACCCCAACATCTGCAGGCAGTGATGCCTCAGGGCTTCCACACTCACTGGCCAACTGCAGCAGTGGTATTCATGTATGGTCTCAGAGATCATTGTGCTGGATACTCACTCTGTGGCTGTGGCATCCTCAAGGAGAACCGAGCCCCTGCACAGGGCCGACTCGGGTACGATGTCTACCTGGCGTGGGGGTGTGGACTCGGCAGCTCTGATGGTGGAGAGTGAAGGGTCATCATCTGCAACGAAGAACTGGGGGGGACAGGGAATCCCAAGGGGCATTTATAATTTATTAAAGAGACTCCAGAAGAGTGACGATGTAGTATTTATACAGAGATTAATTCTGCACTGTCTCTTCGCACATAGGAATGCTGCTGGAGATTTTGGGCCCCGCGAAAGCATATCATGCTGGGCCCCCAACCCAGACCAATCCAGTTATGTTCCATAATTTTTAGAGCCCCTTGCAATCACCTTAACTCCCCTTCCCTTATTAAAGTACCCCTGTTCTCACACACGCACTGCTTTCACAGCCAGTGTACAACTTTTGACTCAATACAGTAACGTAATTCTTTTTTCTGCTTTAGAACTAAACTCCTGTTCAGTTTAAGCCAAGACATTTCAACCAGCCCTACCAGTACCCAGTTTTGTAGTTTCCCACCAGTACTTTCCTACCAGCACCCTGAGCCAATTCTACCAGCAGAAAACATGATTAGGGGCTTAATGGATTAGTCTAATTAGATTGTTTCGGTCAAAAAACAAACATGCAGAAATAACATAGCTATTGGTCAACTAGTTTTAACAAGTAAACACACCCATAAAATAGTAAGAATGTTGTTCTATTCATTTAGGTGGGTGGGGAGGGGTTCTTTATTTAATAGATGCAAATGATAAATTATGCCAAATGCATCCTGGAGCAGAATCCATCCTGCTTTGACCAGGACCACTCCTCAAAACGGTGCACACCATGGTACCCAGTCAGTGGGTCAGGTGCCTGTTTTTAATGTTGTTCTGATTCCGATACTAGTATTGGAAATGCTGCCGATACCACCAAAAAATCTGGCATCTGTATCGGCGAGTATTTGAGTCCACGTACCGATCCGATACCATTTTCCTAAACATAATCTAGTTATGCCCGCTAGCTTTGCTTAACGCTGCAAATCGGAAATCAATTCTTCTTCGCTGCTCAGAATGCAAACACAGGAAGTTGTGTCGTGTTGCCACAAGCAACCACTGTTTACGGCAGCGAAGAAGTACAAATGTGCAAGAAGTATGTCCGCTGTTTGGCAGTATTTCAGGCTTGATCAACCAGCCAGTAAAACAGCGACATGTATTATATGTCAAGCTGCATATACAGATACACACCCAGGTATCGGATCAGTACTCGGTATCGGCCGATACCCTGAGCCCAAGTATCGGAATCGGTATCGGGAGGGGAAAAATGGTATCGGAACACCTCTACCTGTTTTCTGGTGACGTTGTGGGTAGGAACCACACAAGCCATTGCAACCTCCACCCAAATTCCTTAATAGCACAAAGCAAGACTGACAGGTCCTGATCCAATGAGACTAACCATGTCCCTGTTCTGTCACTTGGAGCATCCAAACCCCAATGCGTGACTGATCCTGTGTGAAAGGCTGTACCTGCACTGCCTGCGAGTGACTGTCTGGCTCTGCATCAGGGGTCACGTCAGGCTGGCTGCAGGACTCCTCCTCCGCCTCTTCTTCTTCTTCGTCTTCCTCAATGGTGGGGGCCCCGCTGCTCCCAGAGCCCCTCCTCCGGCCAGAGCCGACCCCTTTCCTCTTCTTGCTGCTCTTCTTCTTCCTGCCCCCTGCAGGGAGGTGCTTGGATAGCGGCTGGTGGATGTGGTGAGAGGAGTGTCGGTGGTCTAGGAGGAAGAGGAGTTGTTCAGACGTTAAAGGAAGATGAGTGACTGGCCCTTGGCAGCACTTCTGAGTATTTAAAAATGTTTGCGCCACTTTAATGAAGCCAATTCAAAAGCCATCTGACAGACTATAAAGACTCATTGCAAAATTTCAATTTTACTTGGAAACTTTGCTCTAAAGCAGCGTCATCTGATACAGAAGCAGAGATCTAATCTAGCCCCATCTCACTGTTCGACATCGACATGGATGGTTTAACCCAAAGCTCATATTTGCATCTCCAGTTACAGTTCAATAGATGTTCCTCAGATCACAAAAGATTATTTTTTCCCCTTGCAATGCTGATGCCCTTATTCAGGAGAGATTAGTAACTAACTATACTAATTCAGGTTAAATACCATGTTTTAAAGTACAACAGGTTATGGCTTCTATGACACTTCAAAAGGTTGCCTCTAAGGTCTAAGGTTACTAGAACACCATGCTTCCCGCTTCCCTAAAAAAAACAGCAGAGATGTAGATATATAGCTGGTCGTCTGGACCATGACGGTCATGCTCCCACACCCCAGAGCAACCAGGCATGACCCAGCCCATGGAGGGCGCTCACATTCAAAATCCGCCTCGTTGTAGGTGCGGTGCTCGTCCCGGACGCGTGGTGTGGGGTGGATAATCTGTTGGAATCTCTCTACCCCCAGGGCCTTGTTGAGGTCTCCCTCGTCATCCTCCTCACGCCGCACACCGCGGGGGAGTGGGGCCGACGGCTCGAGCTGCGAGAGTGAAAAGAGGCGGGGTTATGATGCATGATGCGCTTCTAGTGCGTGGATGAGTGGGGAAGGCCGTGAAAGGACAAGGAAGGCCACTTTGGACAACATTTCAGAGCCCATTAGCAGGCGAGATTATGCAGTTACACACCTGAAATACTGTAATCATCGTCCCTGCACCTCTATCGCAGAGGACAGAAATACCTTCTAAATTAAATGCTAGGTACAGAGGGCTACCCGACCGCTGCCATGGAAACAGCACCTGCTGCTCAGATGTAAAGGTTGGAAATCTTACTGCAGTACAATGAACTTTGGCATTGAGAGGACTGGCACTTGTGTGTATAAGACTAGCATGTGCACACATGAGTGTCACTTAAAATGAAAAGTTCTTGTCCCACATACATACAAAAATGAGACTTACAGTTCCGGCTTTATTCTATCAATTCCTGTTAAATGCTCTTCATATTCAGTTAGTAAAAGTCCATTTGTCCTTATTCCTTATTCTTAAGTCCTTATTCTTTGACTAAAGTCAGCTGATAAGTCCCTTTTATTTGTTCCACGAACACATTTAAACACAAACGGTGATTGGACCCTTTCCATGCTCGATACCAAAACTTTGGAATAGTCTTCCCGTGTCTGTTAGGTCTGCTTCCTCTATAAATAGATTTATATAAATATATATTTAAAAAATGATTGATTGTCATTGTTGACACACCACAGCACAACAATGAAATGTGTCCTCTGCATTTACCCCATATGTGACATTCTGACATTACAGGGGGCAGCTAATTTCGTGCCCGGGGAGCAGTGTATGGGGGCTGTACCTTACTCAGGGTACCTCAGTGGTACCTTGTTCGTCGGGGTTTTGAATCAGAAACCTTCCAACCACAAGTGCACTTCCCTAACCATTCCCTACCACTGGCCTAACAGTTAAATCCAAGCTTAGACTGCATCTTTATGCATTAGCATACCCTGGGTCATAGTACATCTACTGTTTCCCCCCCTTTTTAATTTTAATTCATATACTGTTAATATTTATGTATTTACTTTTTACATTTTTTGTTTCTATTTGAATCCACTTCTGTATCAGTTTTATTTTGGGGGCCATGTTATGTCATTTTTTCTACTTAATATGATTTTGATTTTGTCAAACCGTACAGCACTTTGGTGAGCTGTGGCTGTTTCTGAACGGACCGTATAAATAGACAAACACAGACTTTGAAGAAAAACATCTACCTGAAATTAAGGAAAATGTTGTAATTACACCTTACCTACACTAGAGGGAAACAGAGTCATTGGTAAAGTCAGTTGTCGTTCAGGGTCCATACCAAGTGTAACAACTGACAAGTAAATCATCAGGCTGATAAGTGATAAATACTGATGGGAAGTGCATTTTAAATTACACATCACCAAATCTAGAAATGTGGACTGCATTCATGGTGCCATGTCTTCAGACACTGTTCACCATGAAAGTCTGCTGCTTCAATCAGCTTAGCTGACAGCTTCGCCATACTGAAGCCTCACTTTGCTGTGGCATCTTGCTAATCTCAGCATAAGCAGGCAGCCTGAGAAGGTAAACCACGTGTGTTGGGTGTGAGATTCATCAACTGGGAATCACAGTGGTTTTGATAAACAGATTTAGTCTTGAGAATTTAGAAGACTAGGTACAGCTCCCACAAGGTCCAGAATCATAACCAGGACAAAACATGAAATAATGGAGAAGGAAATTTACCCTCCTGGGCAAAAAAAAGGAAATGGACCAAAGCTTAATGTTGTGCAATCGTGGTCTTGGTCATGGTCATGGTCTTGGCCGCATACCAAGAATGAAATGGGAGCAAACAATCAGTTAGAATAGGGTTAAACTATCTGCACAACAAAGCATGGAAGCAGTGAGCTGCAGGAGATTTTCAGAGAAGGAACCACCCACTGTGACCAAAACTGACCTAGGGACTAATTTCTAAGAGAAGCTGCTGCCTTACTTGGAAATGGCTCGAATCTATTCCTTGAAAATGGACAGACCATTCTGGACATTCAAGGGGACCATGAACACTGAGCAGGTGCAGACAGCAAAGTCCTCGCGCATAGTCAAAGGAGCAAGGAATGCAGAAAACATTCCCCAAAGGAATTCATGGAAATGTGGCATGGGGGGGGGGGGGGGTCACGGAGTGAGGAGGGCCGTTAAGACCAGTCCATGTTGGAAAAGTTAATGTTAAAGCTCTGGTCCCGCAGCAGCACAGACTGAGCAGCCTTTGTACTGGGGACAGAAGTGGACCTCCCTGGAAAAGAAAAAAAAAAAAATCCTGCACTGAAGTTTGGACTGACCACACAGAGGCTTTGACCCAGAAAAGCCAGCCTCTTCACTCACACGTAACCCTGCTACACCTGCACCATGCTGGCCATGGTGGCTGGGGAGAATGGTACAAGCCCAGCATCATCTCCCATCTTACGTCCTTTGCTGCCCTTATTCATTTTGGCATGAAGGTCTTCAACCTGACCCCTAGGTGGTGTCTCATTAAGCCTGCAGCCTTCAGAGCTTCATCTATCCCCTGTCGCTAAGTGTGGCTGGGTCCTGGCACATTATTTAAACAGTTATTTACTCGACCAGGATACTGAAACATCCATCAAGCATGAAAACTTCAAAACAAAGTGCAAAACCAAAAAGCTGACTTGTCATTTTGACACCGGCTTGCTCAAGGTGCCCTTTGACTGCTGGGCTTTGCAAGGCTCACTGCTGCTCAGTATTTTCACGCAGTGGGAACAAAGCGACTGTACAGAAAGCAGGTGGCCTCAAGCCCCGGAGCCTTGCAAGACTTTCAAGAGGCCGCTCGCCTCGGGGGCTCGTGAAGTTCGACTCCATAGTAAACAGCCAGGCAGGTTTCACCTGGACCCTGGCTATTTGCAGGGTTTCACCTGGACCCGGAATACTTCCCCAACGATTCGCCCTTCCGCATCCATCTCCAAAGCACAGACAGATCAGGTTTCTCTGCACACGGACCTTTCCTTCCTCTCAGTAACTCTGCTGGGACGCAGCTGAACAGACACACGCGAGACCCATTTAGAAAGTATCCCTCCCATCCCCCAGCCTAGGCCACTCCTGAGGAACTTGCCAGAAACGCCCCCCCCATCTTCCACATCAGCAGCATGATTGGCTCTCNTTAGAAAGTATCCCTCCCATCCCCCAGCCTAGGCGTCGCTCTTTTAAACTCCCAGAAACACCCCTCCCATCTTCCACATCAGCAGCATGATTGGCTCTCTGCCTGGTCTGAGAGCAGCTGTCGTATGGGCCAAGGAGAGACACAAGCACCAAGGTCAGTGAGAAAAGGAGCCATTGCTCAGGACATTAGCGTAAACCAGATAGAGCGGCTCCAAGGACGTTAGCAGGGAGGCAATCTATGGAAAATAAAAAACAAACACAATGTTTTTCAGCAATGAACTTCATTACCTACGGGTTTCCATTCAGAAGAGAGGTCAAGTTATGACACATTGGGATTAAGGATAAACCAGTCAAGGATCGAGGTGCTGACCTTTTCCTGAACAGTTCTCACTTTCTGGGGTCAGAAGTCAAACTGATTAATGGTTAAACTGCATTATCAGTGTGTCAGCATGGGGTACAGAAGTCCCCAAAAATCCTAGCATCCGCAAAAGTCACACAAAACAAGCTCAGGAAAGGTTTGGCCAATAAAGTACCGTCTCCACCAGAGCTGCAGGTGGTTTCTACCTAGAGATTAAAGCTTTATTCAAAGCTCATTGGACGAGCTCGCAGAGGCATATATCCTGAATGAATCACTGTCCTCTCACAGCCAGCGGTCATCAGATCAATGGATGGATCATTTGCTGCTCTGCAAACCAGTGACAGAGAAGGTGTCGCATTCCTGAAGAATCCAACAGGAAACACTAACTGCAGGATTATCAGAGCGACCCTCTCTCTCTCCATCTCTTATCCGCCTTCAGTAATCCTGCTGGACTTTGATTACCATCGACACCGACAGATGGTGCATCCACGAGCAGCGAATTTGCCATATCACGATGCATCATCTCTTTCCACCACCTTCATCACCTAACGATTGGCTGACACTGGACACATCGTACTTCTGGCAATATCACTCCAGGTCAATTCCAACTCCATTATGACATATTAGCTCCACTTGAACCTTTTAAGGCTCAGGCTGTGTTGTTTGCGCTTCTGTAAGCAAGGAGCGAACTGTGCTTGTACCTGATTGGCTAAGAACGGACATAGACATTCAGTGTTTAGGGGAAGTGAATCCAGAACTTTTTTCCTTCCTACCACTTTGCGCACTGGCAGTGGGCACGTGGCAATGAGTAACGTGGGGACACATTGTAAGAAACATAACTGGCTAAAAGAGAGGCAGGATGGAAGGGTAGCTCCCCCTGCTGGCTGCCTGGCTACAGAAAGGTCTTGCAGGCCTGCAGATGAGAACACTACACGTGCTATAAAACATTTGTACTTGGTCCCGTATAAAAATGATATAGCAGAAGAGTGCAGAGTCTGTCTGGAAAGCCACTGATCCTTCTGATTCAGATTTTCCGTACTGAACAATATGAAAGTTATGCAATATGGTGATACATCCAATATCTGTTGAAATGTAAAAGTACATATGCAAGGTTAACAGTGTAAAAATTCAGTCTGGCACACACTTCCCGCTGAGCTCGGAGTAACGTTAAATACAAACACACACAAATCGGCAAGTGCTACCATTTCACTTTAATCCACTTCAGTCTTTAACGGGTACTAAATCTACAATGTAAGGCAGTAATTCGGCTGAACTGATTTTTTTTACAATGGGGTGTGGGTATCTTGTTACAGGACACAAAGCCTTTCACTGTTTACCTCACAGAGGGGCTCTATGCCACAAAAAGACTCACCTTCATTTTAAATAGGAAGTCCATTATATCGCTGTCCTATAACACTCAGGAAGCAGACCACTTCTGACCTTTGCCTAAAGACTCCTTCTCAATATTCATCTCAACAAATCTCACTACACTGTCCCTGGAAATACACTCGCGCCTCTTGTGAAAGCTGTCTGGGCGCGTGGTCTTTACAAATGGCTTGATCGCTGCAAAGGCACGCCACGTTCCTCCCCCTCCCCTCCACACACGACACACTCTCCAGAGAAGGCTAATCATTAACCGCTCTCTGCCGCACATCCTGAGAAGCGCTAACAGCAGCGCGAGCTTTCCTGTCCCAGCAGGATTCAGAGCCCCGGAGAGCAGGCAGGACCTGTGCCTCCGTCAGCTCAAACAGAGCAAGGGCGTTCTCAGTGTCCCTGTTCACCATAACTATTTTACGCTCATCAGTCAGCACTCATGGCCTGTCTGTTATCACTGATGGCTACGCTCTGGAAACGCTCCTCACTGCCTGACAGCGAACACAAGGCGATGTCATTCCAAACACATGCATACGCACAAAGTCTCAGGGACCTGACTGATGTGGACCGAGGAGCTGGAAGGTGTCCGTCAGGAAGAATGCCCTTACTGGTGTGGCTCCATTTCACTGGGCCAGCTGGCTATTTGCACTGTACAGTGGGTATGAGTGTGTGTGACCTAGTGGGTTAAACCTCTGTGCCTGTGACTGGAAGGTCACCGGTTAAAGCCAAGCTTCGACAGAATAGTCACCTCTATAGGGCCCTTGAGCAAGGCTCTTAACTCCAGGGGTGCTGAATAAATAGCCTGATCCTGCACTCTGTGTGGGTGCTTCAAATAAAGTATGATGGCATACGTGAAGAGAAGCATTTCAATGTACTTGTACTTGTGCAAATGTCCAATAAAAGATCTTTTAATTTAAGTGGGGAGGGTTTGGGAGAGCAGTCCTGCAGGGGGCGCTGTAACCCCCACAGATCACATCAGCATCAACACCATCTAACCTATACTCATCTGATTCTACAGATGACCAATGGATAAAATGCAACTTAACCTAAAATATCCGAGCCGGTATACATAAAACTTCCTAAGAATGGTCTTAAGAATGGTCTTAAGAATGGTCGTACACTTGGACTTAAGAGTAAAAAAAAAACTTAACAAAAAGTAGGACCTAAGAGCATTGTATAAAGCTGCTAAAACTAAGTAACTTTCAGCAAAGTTTAAGCCCAATTCCTAAGTGCTGACGGAGCCAGCATTTAAGTGTCGTGAAATGAGGACTAGAAATAAAATCCCGCCCCAAATACTGAGTTCAACCAATAGAGAAGCTGCACGGTGAATATATTAGTGATGTTAAACCGTTAATGTACAGCTTTATACAACATACCTTTCTGTGATCATACCTTTAATTGGTTGTACGAAAATCTATCTAGCACACCACCAATCAATTTCCACTAATAGATGCGCATGTTGTATAAATTATGGGTCAAACGCAAAACTCATAGCAAGACATTGAATTCTAAAAGAAAACCAAACTGGACGACAAACAAAACGGTTCTTTTGGCACAGTTGGTGCTTAAATGGAAGGAGGTAGTGCGAGGAAAGTTTGGCCCAGCTGTTACAAGCACAGACAAAAAAAGCTTAGGGGGCTATTGCAAGCTCCGTAAATGCTGCATCACCTCGGACAAGGCGTTCAGCAGAGTAATGTGGAAAAAAGGTGGTATAATGTTTTATCAACCTCGCGAAAGGAAATCACAGTTTATAAAGCAAGCATGCAAGCTACAGGTTTGTGTCATTACTTATATTGCTCTTATGACCTTCGCTATAATAGATGATGATGATAATAATAATAATAATAATTATTATTATTATTATATTTTTCCAGTTGCCAAAAACGTAGCATCATTATCACCTTCAGTTCAACTGTAAGTGCATTTTTAGGTGACATAGGAGATTGTATCTGGTTCCTAATTAGGTTGGTAACAAAAAGAACGCCCTCATGATCGAGCCTGTACCTTTTTATCAATTCATTATTGTCGTACGTCTGCAGTACGCCCTTTCTTTCACGGAAAGTGCGTGGTCTCCGTCTTCGTGTGCTGCTGCCATCGTGCAACTCCTAACTGGTTTAGGAGTCCTCTCCAGCTCTCTTAAATAATTTAGGAGCTGAGACCTACTCTTAACACTTAAGAATGTTCATGCATGCCACTTATTCTTAAGTCTAGGAGTAGGAGCAAAATCACGTCACTCTTAGAATTGTGACGCATTTAAGAGTGAAATTTTACTCTGAGAAGTTTTATGCATACTGGCCCAGGTGTTTAATTCGTCGTTTGACACCCTCTAGTGCTCCTTATCCCAGATAAAGAGCAGTGTTATTTTCATGAAGACCAAATACAGATGCTGTTCTTCTTCTTGAGCGTCAGCTTGGACCGTATCGCTTTTCCTGCCTGCTTCCACTGCAGTCCCACAGAACGGTCCCAAAAAAGGACCCGATGGCCCATATCAGTTTCTGTATTCCTCTCACGACTCTGTGTTCCTGCAGAGAAACATCAATGCGGCTCGATCGGAACCGGTGCTTCGGAGAATGCGCAGACTGTTCAGGGAGATGCAGAGGATTCCCAATGGGTTCCTGGCTGCCGTGACCCAAAGCAAGGCCGGCAAGTTCAGACAGACCCGTTAGGTCCATCTTAGTGGACGACCTCTGACACACACATCACGTCTGGTGTCTTGCGTTAGCACCCAGAACACAGACCTCCAGAGAACAAAAACAACAAAATCTTCAAAGCCCACTAGTAACCTTATTACACTGAACACAGACCTCACATAACAGGTAGAGGCTCCACCATGGGGTAGGCTAACCTGGGCTCCCTTAAAAGCATCTGTCCTTTACAGCATATCAGATCAGTCAAAATCCTCACGGACGCCCCCCTGCACCAGTGACAGCAAATAAACAGTTTCTGTCCAAAGCCAACAACTACGATTCGTGCAAGAAACCAAGTTTCTGACATAGAAAATACAGAAATATAGTCTTATATTAAGTTATGCCTGATCAAATCTCATCCGAACGCCCGTACGTCCAAGGCCCATAGTGAACAATATACACTGATCAAGAGACACCTGAAAACAGACGCAAGCGGGTGCAGGAGAATGGGCAGCGCTACCGGCCGTATAATGAGCCATTGTCCATATATAATTTGTAATACAGTATGCATACAGTAATGCATATGTGACGGAAAGCTACAATATCGTGACACATACAAAATGGCTTGCGTCCGGTGGTCCTGGTCCCAAATGCGAATGCAAGTTGACAAAGAGCCTTATAGAAAATAGGCATTAAAATGAATTACGGCAACAAAAAAAAAATGGTGGGTATTTACAGAATTATGGTACAGTTTCAACACTTAAGAAATCTAGGTGGACAGGAAAATTTGAACCAAATACATTTTTATTAATGAGCTTGTGGTCTTGGGGGCCAAGGTTAGTGGATGGCACTGACCTCGCGGGCATGTGGGGGGGCGCTCATAGCTCTTCGGTGATGTGGGCGGTGAGGGCGCGGGACGTGGCAGCTGGGGTCCTTAACCCTTCTCTTTCTCACTCAGACGCAGCGGGCAGCTTTTGGGCAGCATAACCTGGGAGCAGAACCGGCCAAAAAAAGGTTAATTCAGGATAAAACGGACAGGCCGATCAGTCATGCGGACCACCTCCATGTCCAGGAGACAGGAAGGTAGCGCATGGCTTCATGGGAGGAGGAGAGTAAATGCTGGAAGCAGAGCAGATGAAATTCTCCTGCCAGTCCAAGCTACCCAACCGTGCAAAGGGGCCTTTCATTGCCAGCAGACCACCCTCAACAGGTACCAGGGCAGTCAGGAGATCAGCCAGAGGGCTCTGTCATGTCAAACAGCAGGCATACCCATGTTCTTCTCACATGTAATGAAAGTCTGCATCATTGAAACATGGAGCAGCAGCTGACGGGGGGGGGGGGGGGGTCATTAGAGTCCCTTTTAAAGCACAAATGTGCCCCAACATAGGCTACGCCCCCAGGACGTGATCTGCAACCAGATGGGTGCAACAGACCTTCAACATCTAATTAGAGTCCGTTACATCAGGCACGTCTATAGATAAATTTATTATGTCACGGCAGAGAAGTTCCGTAATAGATGTTTCTCCCGCACACAAGCACAGCATATGAAGTAAGGCAGGGTTACAAAGAAGATAAGTGATAATGTGATTAGTGAAAGCTCTGGAGCAAACAGGAAAAAAAGCCCTGATTTAGACAAATCCAGGTGAGTCTGTGCAAACAACATAGTAGTGGATGTTTCTTAGGGCCTTAGGGTTTGTTTCTCACTAGGTGTTACTCTGAGAACCAGGCCAGCCCATGGAACCCTGCTTTCATTTCCCTCTCAAAGGGGCACATTCTTTCATTACTGCCAAGCCTTAATCATATCAAAGGCTGGACTGATATTAAAAACCGGGTTCACAGCATTTCTGCAGAACGGTGCTTGCAGGAGATTACGCGTCGCCTTTCTGTTGTTTTTAGAAGCTGTGTAAAGTTCAGATCAATCCCAAAACAGTCCAGACAGTCGACTACTGGTTTGTTTGCGTAAGGCAACGAGCAAAGTGGCCAGGGTTATGCAAACGCTAATGTTAGCTGGACTCAACCACTGGCAAGTGCATAAACAGAAAGGAACACACAGGCTAAAGGCGGTTTTTCAGGGAGGCCAAAACATTGATTTTCTCCAATGTTAACATTTTGGAAGAAAACCATGCTCTTCCTCAGCCCACCCTGTAATGCCATGTCCTACCAAAAAGACAATGGGGACAACCGGCAAACAAGGATGAGAGGCATGGGAAGGGTCACCATCAGCACGACCTCTGCTCTGTCTCCATCTGCAGCAACCAAGCAATTACAGCTACAGGTTTCAATCTGCACAGCAGTTCCTACTAAACCTGGAGATTCAAATCCTGATGAGCCATGGAGTGACTCAATGACAACAATGTGGGATGAATCAGTAACCAAAGCCAAGTGCAAAACAGAGGAAAGCGAGGGTAAATCAATTGAATTCAATTGCTTTCTCTTTCCTCATAGAAGTGAAACGTGGATCATTGTGACAGCACCTTAAGTGACCAGCAACAGCAATCTTGACATAAGATCAAGGTGAAGGCTGGCAGGTCATTGAGGACCCCATCCATGGGTTTGAAGAATACCTTGCACACAGAAGAAGACTATAGTACAAAGATGTTTGCCAGAGACAGAAGACAAGTTGGACGGAAAAGCCTTGAACGGAGCAGCAGAGGTGGCTGTTCGGAAGCCTAGTTCTCTTTAGCGACTTTAACCCACTTTATATAATCAGCGAACATCTACGAGTAGAAAGAGGGATGCATGTTCCAGATGTCACAGCAGATGCTTCAACAGAGACAAGTAGCAAAGTAGGATTCACAGGGATTTCACCAGCAACGGAATAGTGAGAAACATTTGAGCTGGGCCATATTCTGAGAAGCTCCTCCAAGCATATACAGTGCCAGTCAAACGTTTGGACACACCTACCCATAGAAGGGTTTGTTTGTAATGCTCTACATTTTAGAATAACTATAAAGACATCAAAACTATAAAATATATGGATTATGCACGGACTAAAAATTAATTTGTTGGAGGGGGGCAGCTCTGTGGGTTGGGACTCAGATAAACAATCTCACATGGGGACCCATACAACTTTTTTTTCTATGTGGACTTATCCATTGATTCGTTCATTATTTTCCACTAATTGAACTAGATGCTACAGCCAACGTTGCTGTATGGTATGTATGGTGGTGTTAATCTAGGGCTGAGTGCAATGAGAAGCTGTTTTAAGCAGGTTTGGTGATTTGCAGGGAGGAAACCCTCTCACGGGTAGTAATGAGTCACTACCATTCCTAGCCAAAACTTAAAGCAAAGTGACTTGGCCAAACTGTCAGGTATTGATAAGCTACGCATCGATCTGAATTCCAAAATATACTGTGACCTACTGTAAATACAAGAAAAAAAAGTTCTCCCTGACCACAGGACAGAAACCAAGAATATCTTGAAGTGACACCCTGGACGAGATGGAGGAGAGTTTCAGCCCGTCAGCTAAACAGGGGGGGAAGGACAGAGGGGCCAAAGGGCAGATCTCCAAACAAAGGAAGGAAGAGAGCTTTAGCGGGATGAAGGGAGACGACACAGTGCGCTGAGGAAGCTGAAGCTTTAGAGGGATGCAGGGAGACGACACGGTGCGCTGAGGAAGCTGAAGCTTTAACGGGATACAGGGAGACTGACACGGTGCGCTGAAGAAGCTGAAGCTTTAGCGGGATGCAGGGAGACCGACACGGTGCGCTGAGGAAGCTGAAGCTTTAGCGGGATGCAGGGAGACCGACACGGTGCGCTGAGGAAGCTGAAGCTTTAGCAGCATACAGGGAGACCAACACGGTCCAGCCATCACACAGGCCAAGGTTCCACCAGATATCTGAAGGTGACACAGAGACACGGAGTGACTCAGCAGAGATCCTTCAGAACTGGACAAACAAATCGCCGGCTGCTGGGTCGCTCTTGGCACACTCACAGAGAACCAGAACCCTAATCAGTCTCTCCCCTAAGCGCCTAATATCAGACATTTACCTCTGCGGAGGCTAAATGAGGACATGCGTCCACACTGCCCTCCATCAGTGACCCACCACCAGCAGCTGTACCAGGTAACCGGTGTCATTTTGAAAGCTGAATCATTTAATACACAAGTGTGTCTGAAGAAAAAATGAAGGTCGGTACCTCTCCTAGAAAGAGGAGACAGCAGCCCTTGTAAAACCTATGCTGGAGAGCAGAACCCTCAGTTAGAAAAGGGTCACATTAGGATCAGGGTCTTACCAGCGCAATAACATCAATTAGCACGTCAGCACTGTCCACCTCAGTGCATCACCATAGCCCCAATAACCAAGAGAAACCGGGTCAAAATGAATCACCATGCCAACCTGGTTCATGGCCTGAATGGCTTCCCATGCTGCGGTACGCAAAAAAAACATCAACAATACACACTTACGCATTCAAGGTGAAAATGAGACTACAGAATACAGATTATAAGCTCTAATTAAATATACTGCTACAGCAGAACTTAAACCAACCTCAGATTAACCCTAGGATCCAACCAGCATCGTGTCACTTCATTCCCCAGTGATCTGTTGCCGCAAGTGGTCGCCATGGTTGCACAGGACCAGAGGGGCAGTTCACCGGCTCCGATGTGAACACCTCACATCCTCTCAATCCTACAGCAGATGTTCTCCCAGACCAAGGCATCACTGAGCAACACACACGAAACATAACAGTTGTGCTGCATGATTGACACAGTGATGAGCTTCCAAGCCTCCCAACAAGAACAAGAATCTCAGTCCAGGACCTTCATACAAGTACATTCACCTTCGCTCAGAATACTAATAGGGATAACAGTTTGACCAAAATAACAGAAGAAAATTACCTTTACTGTTAATGAGAGGGGGCACTGACTTTAGAAGAAACAGCTGAAAGATGGTTAAAGAAGTCAATTTTCTGCCCTCAGCCATTTTTTTTTTTAGATCAACCTTCTCATACTGCAGAAAACTCCATCCTTTTCTACAGACTCCAGGCACAACATCGACTTTTTTTTTTCAGCAAAAGTTTCCCCAAATACTATCAGTATTCAGACAGCGAGCAAAAACGAGGAGGTGAGGCTGAGATCCCCACCCATCAAGGTCCTTCCTCTCCAAAAAGAAGAGTTTCATTTGTCATAAATCAGATTCCAGCGTGTGCTCAGTAAATAAAGGCTTCAGGTTTCAGTGTCTTGGTAGAGAGCTTGAGATGAAGCCAGCTTGTAAGGAGGAATTTTTTTTCCTGGTTACAGGAAATATGAAAGAACTGGTTTATTTCAGGTGACTCAAAGCCCAATCTGCCCCAAAGCAGAATGCAGGGTAAAGGCACTGAGCCACTCAGCCAGGCAAGTAGACAGAGCCAAACAGAGGAACCCGAAGGAGAATGAGATCTCTGTGACAGAGAAACTGTCAGGGGAAACAGGGTACCAGAGTCACTGCTGACGGCGGACAGAGAGATACGAGCACTTACCTCTGTGGGCTTACTGTAGAAGGGTTACAGCAGACATCGCAGAGCAAAGCTGAACGCCACTGTGAGGAGAGAGGGATGAGGGGCAGAGAGAGAGAGATGGAGGGAGAGTGAGAGAGAGAGAGAGAGAGAGAGAGAGACAGACAATCTGTTAGGTGAGACGTTTCCCGATTGGCTTAGCAGAACACAGGACCTCCGTCACATGCTCCAAGCCTTCAGGTACAGACTGGATACTCAGGGCTTCCGGCCTGGGATTATGTGTTCGAAACACAGGCTCCTGGACAGCATGTGACTAGAGCGATGACTCAACAGTAAGGCACAGGATTGGGGACCTCAGGCACGCACACGCACGCACACACACACGCGCACGCGCACACACACACACACACACACACACACACACACAAGTGGATCTGAATATCGAATGACATAAATGATAAATGTGTGCAGGTGTGCAGGTTTCCCAGAGAAACAGTGAGCAAAGACCTAAGATTAACTACCACATGCCTGGTACATACACACAGTGCGTTCCTCATTAGCTAAACACGTACACACACAATCAGGATTACTGATACAGACACAGGACAGCCTATGACTGCCACTAAGCCTTGTCGTGCTGTAATGCCCCATATCTCAGCCCCCATACCCCCCCCCCAGTAGCATCAGAGGGGGCCTTGACTGCGAACGTCAGTGGCAGAGCAGGGCGCCACTCTGCGTGGGCAGATAAGCGTCACCGCAGGCTGCGTGGCTGGGACATCCCCTCTGGTCGAGGTACAGGAGGGAGACTGAGGCTCCTTCTCAAGGCTGTCTGGACCCAACCGTCTACCACCTGCACCGGGAGCTGTGATGGGCGACATGGACTGGGCGGGGTGTGGGGTCTGCTCCGTACCAGAGCATGTGAGCGAGGAGTGGAGCGGTTGGAATTTAGTCAGAGCGCGTAGCGGTTTTTTAATTAAGGCTGGAGCGTACGCTCTGTCTCGCTCCAATTTCGCTCCGATACCGCTCACGCTACGATTCTGAGGCGTGCCCAAATCTACCCAGAATTCATCTGTACAATTATCAAGACTGTTACACAAATTGGCCGAGATGGAATTCGCAAAGTATATCACAAAGGAAAGTTATAGATCATACAAGTGTAATATTCTTATCAAACGTATAGATGACAATAATGTAGAGCAAGAACAACAATGTGGTCAAACTGTTTCAGTGAGTAAAGATTCACTTTGGAATCATTTTTTCTCAGAAACTTGAGAGTGTTTTACGCGAACAGAGCAAAACGTGAGCAAGTTTTATATGGTTGTAGTATATCAAGTCTATAAATTATAAGTATAAGTATAAAAACCTATATTGGTAATCAAATAAATTCGTTTTGTCATTCAAAGTAGGTGTAATAGGATTTTTTAAATGTCACGTAACGCTGTTAGTGAAATTTTATTTTATAGAAAGAGGCAGCAGCAGCATCAACAGAAAAAAATTAAAAACGAGGTGGGCGGAGTCAATAGCCTCGTGAGCGAGGAGCGGAAATTCTCACCGCTCCACTCCGCTCACATGCTCTGCTCCGCACACATGCCGCAAACCCCTGCACCCCATGGCCCCCCATCAACAGCAGGGTGTCACACACATCCCTCAAGTAGGTCAAGGCTTCCTCACCGAACCACAACCCCCGGCAGGTGGCTTGAGAAAAGGAAACTGGCAGCAAAGGATAGGTACTGGTGTCCACTGAATTCCCTCATGGGAATCACACTGGAATTGTGGAGGACAAACCATACTTCCCAGGGCAAACACAGGCAAAATGGGTTCAGTCAAAGGAAATGACTGATGACCAGCTGGTCCAGCTGCCCCACCATGTGGTAGGTCTGATGTTTCTCCTGGGTACAATGATTTAATGCACAAGCCTAATGTTTGAAGCTAAAAGGTAGGCTTTGGTGCGCCTCAAGTTCACAGATTCTTCCATGTTCTCTCTGTAAATACTGTGCCATGGCTCCCAGGACATTGCAACTCAACGCTGGTACCTCAAGGCCACACACGTACGGCCAACTTCACACCGAATGATCGGCTTCTTCTCCTCCTCACTCAGATTCAAGGAAACTTCCTTTACCAAGAATACAATTGTTAACATAAGTTAACGTAAAGCAAGGGTCAGCCAAAATTAGAAGAATTTGGGAAATGCCTGACAACGCATGGTCCAGGACTTTGAAACGGACAGGGTTCAGTGGAACAGTGCTCTCATATTCTGATGACAAACCTGAGGGGATATATCACGTCTGAGTCAGCAGTACAGGCAGTTACCCTTTGAGGAGGAAGGTTAATCAACACTACAAGACACGAAACGAGAGAGCCTCTAATACACATAGGAATGAACAACAAGATGAAGGGGGAGTGGGCGTGGCTTCACGAAATGACGCAACAGCAGGGAGGACCGTGGGGATGTTTCAGTACAGGCAAGTCGGCTGACATTTTAAATACATGTCTGTGTACCTCTAAAAGTAACCAGGACCCTGCACACATTTAGGGAAGGTCCGCCAGCAACCAAACGTGGCCCTTTGCTGTGGTGAAGGAACTCATAGATTTAAAAACCCACAAAGTCCAAAGATAGGAAGCAGAAGGAAGCCTAGGAGAAATCCCGAAAACGCCCCACACGCAGCGCCGGAGAAACGCGCGCGTCTGCAGTTACAATAACCTCCACGCCTCGTGACCCTGACATCGGCATTCATCTGCAGCTCAGCAGTGCTGCTGCCTGCCGTTTTATTTTGGTCTTCAGCTCTTTTCATGTTTCCCTATGATTATAACCCTGCTTAGCCAAAGCTCAGGAAAAACACAGACCGGTTCCCCCCAGAGCTGTCGTCAACACGCATTCATCTCAGAGAGATGGCAGACCTTCCCGGCAAATAACACATGAAGATACATTTAAACTAGCCTTTTAATAGAAACTACAATTACAGCAACTGTGTACGGCAAGGGGGGGGGCACGAGTTTGTGGATCCAGAAAGCTTGTGCAATGTGTCGAGCCGCTACCTTCACCCCCAAGATGTGAAAATGCACTGAACCGGATCCAAGACCCGATTCTGAAGAAACCATGAAGTTATGCAGCAAGCATGCAGAAGGTCACGGGCCTCAGTCTCGACCCGATTACCACCATTACCGCTTGTTACTCTCAAAAATGAGCCAGGTTAGTTCTGCGGCAACGGTAATGGATTTGCAATGGAATCTAACTACAGTTTGAAAAGATCTGCAATGCTTTGCTTGAAACACCATCAGCTCTGTCGTATCCTAACCGTCGAATTATATCACACAATGTTTTGCGCCCTTCACCAAATGCATATTTTGGTAATGCAATTATTTCTGAATACCCAAAAAAAAAATAAATAAATAAAAAATCACATCTTACATCTACATCAAACCAAAATCAAATCTAGTTGTCACATGTACAGTCATAAAGTGTATACAGTGTGCAGTGAAATGCTGGTCTGTCTGGGACCAAGACTGTGACAACATATGAAGTATAAATAGTATAAAGGAAATAAAAAATTTAATATATATATATATATATATATAAACATGTGACACACACTCCTGCATTCCTCAGTCCACAAAACCGTGCGCGATTGCGAGCAGTTGAACCCTCACTGAAAAAAAAACTCCAGCTGCCAGAGACCAAGACAGCCTCAGTCTGGAGGGTGCAAACCGGAGCGCTGCAGGGTCTCTGTGCAGAGTCGTCGCCACACAACCACAGCAGAGAGCCATTCATACGGACAGGAGGCCGCACCGATGCCGAGGCCACTGAGGGGGAGCCGAGTACGCCACCCGTTGGCAGGCCACAACCATGCACCTCAGAGATGATGGGCATGGAGCTCCGATGTGCCATCTGATCCAACCAGCACGATATAGACAAAGCTTTAACTCAAACACTTCATTCAGGATACGGTCAAATGTCAAAATGGCACAAGGCAATTAAGCCTTTCTTCTGAAGTTTATAGGCCTGTGAAAATACTGTTGCGTAAACAAGACAAAAGACACTGCAATACTAAACTCCGCACATGCATTTTGTACATTCCTTAACGACACAATCTTTATAGAAAAAGCCCAAGTTTTTAATAACATCAGAGGATTACCAAACAGCATTTGACTGATCTGGGAAAACATGCAAAGTGAAAGCCTGCAACGACAAAGGAGGGTGATGAAATGACAGCCCGGTAAGATGAGACCAGGAGACAGAGGACGCGGCATTCATACCAGTACCGCTGCGGTCACCTTCAGCGCGTGAAAAATGCGCAAAATCACAAGACAGCCACAGAACTCGGTCCTCCGTAGCCCTGCAGCTCAACACCGATGCAGCGACGGAGAGAATGTCGCTAGAGTGAGTGAGTGCTCGGCGGACCGGACTGGCACCTATAAAAGGGCTGGGGAAGGAGTGGGGGATTTAGGGAGGGGGCAGCTTTGGGATTAGCTTTTTTGGCAAAAAAAAAAAAAAAAGTCCACAGCCCGAGGTGGAGGGGAGTGGCCAGACAGCGGTATAGGAGCAGCTTGGCCCCACGGTCGAATTCCACAGGTGCACCACGTGACCCCTGGGTCTCAGAGTGTGGCACGTGAGACAGGGCTCTGGGAAGCTCAGTGCCGCAGCGATCACATGGCGTAATGATGTCATCTTGCGCTGCCCTAACCCTTTGCCACAGCTCACTCTCTCACACTGGGCCCTGCTTTTTTTCTGCCGCACGCTTAAAACCACACTGCCACAGCTGGCGCCCAACCAGTGCCTCCCAGCCGCACAGGGACCCGACAGCGCCTCTCAGAGGTGGCAAGAGCCACTTTGAACCCTGTTGCGGTCGGACCCTGGTATGGTGTGAAAAGCGGTAAGTTGGACTCGGTAAGATTTGGCGGTCCCTGAACGAAAGGGCTGCCGGCTGCTGTGCATTGGAGCACTGACTGCCAGTCCTTGAGGAGGGGATTAAACAGCCCTGGTGTGTTTTCCCGTCCGGACTCACCTGATCTGGATTACCACCTTTCTGGAAGGAGTGGTGTGCTTGTACGCGTTTAGTCCAAGCCCCATGTGACTACCTCCTCC